TATTCGTTCAGTTTAAAGCAAACATTAATATTCTTTTGATCATCTATTTTGGCCTGGAAACTCGCGAAATCGTTAGCGATACTGACGTACGTAAGTAAGTCATTGCTGAAAAATCATACGTTCGATACACGTTTGACAGAATTTAATATCTGTGATATTCGGTTATCTAGATATATCTGGAAAATACCGCAACAATCCGTTCAATTCACACGAATGAGATCGGAAGCTTTCAAAGGATTTAAATTCAGACATGTTCTTATTCGCGGGGATCGTTGTCCGCTGATTTATTCAGGCGATTTTCTGATTTTCATTCATGGCAACACTTCACACTTCTGAATAAGCTTTCATACTCATATGACACAAAATCCCTTCCAGTGAGCAATATAAAGACACAACTAAGAAAGACAGAACTTTCAATTATTCCTGTTCGTCCATTAAATTCAAATTTTTCAGAGGTACAACAGTTCCAAGCAAAAACTATGATGATAACTTGGAGCATGAAAACGCTGCTCAAGAAATTTTATCTTCAATTGAGAATAAAGCAAGTTCCGGTTCTTTTCTGCCAGGATTGAAAGTCAATGGTAATTTATTCAAAAAATAAAAAGAAGCAACATCTTCAAAGTAGCTGGAACAGAATTCAACTGCAACTACCCAAGGTGGCACAGACACACATTTTAAGCTTCTTTTCAATTCAGAATCGATTTCCTAAGCTTCTTTTTATTCTTGATTTTGTAAATCAAGAAACCCATCGACAATATTCATCATGAAAAATAGTTCCAAAAGTCCTCCGGATTGTCAGCAAGCCACAGTTTACAAAATACTGCATTCTCATCCCTAAAAAAACAAAAATGCAATCGAAAAAAACTCAGTGACATTGTTATGTGGGCATAAAATTGCAATTAAAAAAAAATTAATTTGCGTGACTTTCCCTATATTGCTTGGCGTGGCAGGAAAAGGTTTTTGTCGGCAAACGTGAGGAAGTTTGAAAAAATTCAAACTCCCTCAAACTAATCAGAAGAGGACGGAAATTCCGTCACGAGATTTGATACATAAATTTTAAAAATGAAATCAACGCATGTACGAGGGTTGTCCCAGTTTCTCGCACGATTCAATATTTTTAAACTCAAATCAAATAAAACTAAAAGCCCATGAAAGAATAATTTCAAAAATGCAGAAAATTTGCTTTGACGAATGATGAAACGAAAAATTGGGACAGCAAGAACTTGCCGCTGCAACCCACCCCAAAAAGTTTCGCGTTTCTTTTTTATTGCAAGAGACCTAATCATCCAAAAAAAAGCGAAATTTCTAAAAGATGTGAGAAAGACTATATTCTACGAAAAACATATTAATTTTTCAATCATCTTGACAAACTTTCACTGTGATCTGAGTGGAGAGTTCTGGCTGCACTAGGAAAGTTTTCGCTTCTCAAAATGCAGCGTATATACAATACCATTATAAACGTGTTCTAAAAATCTGAAAAAGTTTCAGATGCCAAAAAACGATCACTGAGAAAAGTTTTTGCCTCCGTTTAAATTCATAACGAAGTTAGAAAAGTTGAAAGCCGCAAAAAACTGAGACTACCCTCACTTCTCTTACGTTGAGTTGAATAGAAGTGCGCAAACATACGCGTCATTTGGCACGCCAAACAATCCTGCATGCAAGAGGCGAAAAATATCTTCATCTCGACCTACATCAACCCTGGAAACTGGGACAAGTGAAAAACTGTACTGTAATTGAACTTGACCTGTGTCGAAGAGACGTGTCTTCCATTCGATCTGCGACACGAGCAGCAAGATCCACCACCTCTTTGGGTAATCCCGCCATTTTGGCAACGTTGAGGCCATAGCTGCACGGTGCAATTCCGGGTTTGACTTCAAATAATAATGTAACATCATCGCTTCTCGAAGCCTTTCGCCCGAGATGATCTCTTCCATCCTGATCAGCATCTTTATTTTGCAGCAGGAATCCCATGTGGAAATTCTCGGCCACGGGAGAGCAGCTCTCCGCAAATGCGCAAACTTCGGGATAATGCGTGACAAAAAGACAAACGCATCGAACCTGCGTTACACAAAAACAAAAAAGTGGGAAGAAAAAAGAGGAATTGAAGAAGGCTCCGTGATATGTCGGTGTACTTTCTGAAAACGCATAATCCACAACCAGACATTTTTCCGCATTTTGGGGCACGCCAATGAAGCATGTTATTTCTGCAGGCGATTTATAGAAACAAATTCTCAAATGCTGCATTTCCATCAGGACATTTCATTTGAATGCGCGACTCCGCCGCCATTTCAAAGACACGTACGTGTCAATTTCCAACACTATCAATGCATGCGTTTCAAAAAGCACGCCCTCCAAAGAAATCAGGATATTCACTTTTTTTATCTACTACACTGTATGTTCTTTTGCAGTTACTTTTGGGAATAAGGACAACTTGAGACAGAAAATCCGAGACTGGAGAAATTTAAATGAACGATTGGAGACAGAAGGGTCAATAAGGGACAGGGGCAATGATAAGAGATAGGAAAAATAAGAGACAGGAACAATTAAAGACAGGGACGATTAGAACAGGAACCATTAGAGACAGATACATTTACGATACAGACACAATTGGAGACGGGGCAACTTCAAAAATTAAAAAAAAATTCGAAATGGGGAAATTTTTAAGACGAGGACATTTTGATTATTCAGCAAGTCAAACCAAACAGGGCAGTTATCTTCAGTATTATTCTCAATTTTCACATAATTCACACTTTATATGTTCTTAATCATCTTCAGCACCACCAGCATTGGTACTAAATTGATCAAATGAGGACTAAAAGCAAGGAATAATTGGAATTCTCAAAAACCAAACAAAGTCTTGTTTTACTTGAAAAAAAAAATGCATACACATTGCATTGCAAAAAAAGGGGAAGAAAATTCTCAATTATCCTATTCCCTCGAATTAAATACAGTAAATCTGAAATTGGTGAATTAAATTGGTTTTCAAATATTTCTGTCTCAAATCACACATGTGACATGTCTAACAAAAGGTGTCTCTTGAATTGTACCTGTCTTGATATGTTTCTGCTGGCTGAAATTGAACAAATGTCTCAACATATTTCTGTTTTGAATTTCTCTCATCTCACATATTGCCTAGATCCAATTATTTTTCGGTTCTCTAGGGTAAAGATAAAAAATGCATGCATCACCTTGTGAACAAGGTAATTCAGCACAGCCACGGCAAGCGCAGTTCCATCAAAAGTAGCTGTACCTCTTCCGAACTCGTCAATCACCACAAGAGACCTTTCATCCGCTCTTTGAAGGATTTCAGCAACCTGTGATGTCTCCGCCAAAAAACTGCTACCTCCAACGATTCCGTCCAATCTGTATGGACAACCCAAGTAATTCATACTCTGTACTGATGTTTGAAGGACACAGGAATACATTGGTGGAATCTGCAGTAGCAACCTTGGAATGAGCAAGTTATAAAGGTCAGAAACAATCATAAGCTGAGGGCAGATTAATGAAGTTGCTTGGAAAAGGACAGAAGAAATTCAGAGGGAATTCCTTTTCAAATGAGANAATCAAATAAAACTAAAAGCCCATGAAAGAATTATATTTCGAAAATACAGAAAATTGGCTTTGACGAATGATGAAAATAAAAATTGGACAGCAAGACCATGCCGCTGCAACCCACCCTAAAAAGTTTTGCGTTTCTTCTTTATTGCAAGAGACCTAATCATCAAAAAAAAAGCGAAATTTTTAAAAGATGTGAAAAAGACAATATTCTACGAAAAACATATTAATTTTTCAATCATCTTGACAAACTTTCACTGTGATCTGAGTGGAGAGTTCTGGCTGCACTAGGAAAGTTTTCGCTTCTCAAAATGCAGCGTATATACAATACCATCATAAACGTGTTCTAAAAATCTGAAAAAGTTTCAGATGCCAAAAAACGATCACTGAGAAAAGTTTTTGCCTCCGTTTAAATTCATAACGAAGTTAGAAAAGTTGAAAGCCGCAAAAAACTGAGACTACCCTCACTTGTCTTACGTTGAGTTGAATAGAAGTGCGCAAACATACGCGACATTTGGCACGCCAAACAATCCTGTACGTATAAGAGGCGAAAAATATCTTCATCTCGACCTACATCAATCCTGGAAACTGGGACGACAAGTAGAAAACTGTAATTGAACTTGACCTGTGTCGAAGAGACGTGTCTTCCATTCGATCTGCGACACGAGCAGCAAGATCCACCACCTCTTTGGGTAATCCCGCCATTTTGGCAACGTTGAGGCCATAGCTGCACGGTGCAATTCCGGGTTTGACTTCAAATAATAATGTAACATCATCGCTTCTCGAAGCCTTTCGCCCGAGATGATCTCTTCCATCCTGATCAGCATCTTTATTTTGCAGCAGGAATCCCATGTGGAAATTCTCGGCCACGGGAGAGCAGTTCTCCGCAAATGTGCAAACTTCGGGATAATGCGTGACAAAAAGACAAACGCATCGAACCTGCGTTACACAAAAACAAAAAAGTGGGAAGAAAAAAGAGGAATTGAAGAAGGCTCCGTGATATGTCGGTGTACTTTCTGAAAACACATAATCCACAACCAGACATTTTTCCGCATTTTGGGGCACGCCAATGAAGCATGTTATTTCTGCAGGCGATTTATAGAAACAAATTCTCAATGCTGCATTTCCATCAGGACATTTCATTTGAATGCGCGACTCCGCCGCCATTTCAAAGACACGTGTCAATTTTCAACACTATCAATGCATGCGTTTCAAAAAGCACGCCCTCCAAAGAAATCAGGATATTCACTTTTTTTATCTACTATACTGTATGTTCTTTTGCAGTTACTTTTGGGAATAAGGACAACTTGAGACAGAAAATCCGAGACTGGAGAAATTTAAATTAACGATTGGAGACAGAAGGGTCAATAAGGGACAGGGGCAATGATAAGAGATAGGAAAAATAAGAGACAGGAACAATTAAAGACAGGGACGATTAGAACAGGAACCATTAGAGACAGATACATTTACGATACAGACACAATTGGAGACGGGGCAACTTCAAAAATTAAAAAAAATTCGAAATGGGGAAATTTTTAAGACGAGGACATTTTGATTATTCAGCAAGTCAAACCAAACAGGGCAGTTATCTTCAGTATTATTCTCAACTTTCACATAATTCACACTTTATATATTCTTAATCATCTTCAGCACCACCAGCATTGGTACTAAATTGATCAAATGAGGACTAAAAGCAAGGAATAATTGGAGTTCTCAAAAACCAAACAAACAAAGTCTTGTTTTACTTGAAAAAAAAATGCATACACATTGCATTGCAAAAAAAGGGAAAGAAAATTCTCAATCATCCTATTTCCTCCAATTAATTACAGTATGTCTGAAATTGGTGAATCAAATTGGTTTTCAAATATTTCTGTCTCAAATCACACATGTCTAACAAAAGGTGTCTCTTTGAATTGTGCCTGCCTTGAAATGTTTCTGCTGACTGAAATTGAACAAATGTCTCAACATATTTCTGTTTTGAATTTCTCTCGTCTCACATATTGCCCTAGATCCTTATTTTTCAACTGTCTGTTGAACAAGCGTAGCTGCAACAGGTTCTCTAGGGTAAAGATAAAAAATGCATGCCTCACCTTGTGAACAAGGTAATTCAGCACAGCCACGGCAAGCGCAGTTCCATCAAAAGTAGCTGTACCTCTTCCGAACTCGTCAATCACCACAAGAGACCTTTCATCCGCTCTTTGAAGGATTTCAGCAACCTGTGATGTCTCCGCCAAAAAACTGCTACCTCCAACGATTCCGTCCAATCTGTATGGACAACCCAAGTAATTCATACTCTGTACTGATGCTTAAAGGACACAGGAATACATTGGTGGAATCTGCAGTAGCAACCTTGGAATGAGCAAGTTATAAAGGTCAGAAACAATCATAAGCTGAGGGCAGATTAATGAAGTTGCTTGGAAAAGGACAGAAGAAATTCAGAGGGAATTCCTTTTCAAATGAGATGAATGAAAAAAATTGCATCTGCTGCTAGGAACATATTTTTTCTTTACATAAAGTATGCTGTCATACACGCATACAATAAAGGGTGTAAGAAAAAAGAACTAAAATCGTACAAAAAGGGACCACCAGCGATCATCAAAAAAATTGCACAGTACGTAGATGGCAAGCAATTACTGCACAGTTGAAATGGCATGTTCTGAATCTTCGATGCATTCGTGTGATACATGATCAAACACGGGTAGCCAGATGTCGCACCTTCCAGAAACTTGGAAAACTCCTTCCGTTGCATCACCACCAACGCGAACGAAAATTCGTTCGAACAACGTCATTTTGCACGAATCCCCAGGGATGAAGGAACCGATTTGAGCCATTATCGCTGTAAGAGCAGTTTGTTTGACAAAACAACTTTTTCCTCCCATGTTCGGGCCAGAGAGGACCATGCATCTGAGTCCTTGATCACTACCCTGCGAAGTAAAATAAAAAAATAAAAATCGAGGATTCTAGTAATGCGATACGCAACGTAAGTGAAACCATAATTCTACGCGGCGTCCGAAAAATTACTGCGCTTCATACATTCAGCTTTTCAATAATGTGTTTCAAGTCGTGAGAGGAACAAAATTACTGCTTTAGGGAAAAAATCAAGAAATACAGTGGTATCAGGAAAATGCTAAGAAATTGATCTTCAATACGGAATGCTTTATAATAAAAACAGCTCGTCAGGTAACAAAGTAAACCGAACTTCGCTGCGTGCAATGATAAGAAATACCTAAAATTGACTCAAAAGAATAAACAGTACATTTGAACATCTTCGAGGAAACTTCGAGGGACCAGCAAAAAATTCGAAATGAAAAAATCTGTCAAAAAATTTGAGTATGAGAGGGGGAAGGCCTTCAGAGGGAGGTTTTTAATGCATTATTTCAAAGGAACTTCAGACAGGGACTTGAAAAAAATTTTACACGGGGAGGTAGTCGTCTTAGTGAGCTTCAAGTTATTGAGGTTCAACAGTAGATGAATTCGAAACATTCATCAGCAAAACAAAAAACAAAAAACAACTATAATGAAACTGTAACTGCGACTGAAAACTACCCACGGCATACAAATTCGCCATTAATTTTAATGGAAAAATAAGTAGTAAAATTTACCACATGGATAACAAATGTAACATTGCGCAGTAACTTCTTGGACATCCTATTGCAAGTGATCATGCAGTTACCACGTGGAAGGCGAAGCCGTTTCTAACATACGCCATTTTTCCAGTCTTTTGCTCCACATATTGAGCAACCACGGGATGAAATCCGTTTTCTACTTCAAAATGACCACCCGGGATGAACAATGGCCTAAAAAAATACATTTTCGAGGTAATTGGATAAACTTCGCAACACCCAGAGAGCAAAAAAACCTGTTCAGATGCTGTTCCGCGGCAACACAAGAAAATCCTACAAGTACGTCAAGTTTACTCAAGGAAAGAACAGCGAGCGAAAGCTTGTCGAAATTCCCGCTAGCTTCATGAATAGCCAAGAACTGACTCCAAACAACATCACTTGCCGAAGTGAGTTTCTCTCGGAATTCACTCAACTGAGCGATCAATGATCTAACAGCAGGTGAGTGAAATCTTGCAAAGCGCTTCGTCCTATATAATTGAATGCCCAGCACTGATTAGGTTTGCTGCGGTGAATTATTTTTGCGATATAATTTTGGGAATACTGTACTCACAAGCTTACACAAATCCAATTATTAGGTATGATATTAAGCATGGTAACAGGAATTTCGATGAGGTATTCATGCATTCCTCGCGTCACGAACTGGTCCACAACTTGTCGGCCTAACGCTTCGTTACATTTTTGCAACTCTGCTGCCAACTTTTTTTGAGTACTATCAATTTTCTCCCGAATGGCCGAAATTTCCGGGTTTTTCTCAGCATTTAGGAAAACTTCACACTTATTTCCTTCCCTGAAATGACGCGAACAACAGTGAATCAACCTCGAAAGCATTTAGAAAAATTAAATGTTTTTCTCACATAGCAGCCTCCTTGTACAAAGGGATCAGCAACATGTGGCAGTAATCCCAAGATTCAGCAATTTCATGCATAAGTTGGCGCAGAAAATTCGATCCAATATTGGTCTTCTCCGAATTTAAGAGCGTTCGCATTGCTTCCGCAATTCTTTGCAATGCTTCGACTGCTTTGTAAAAGTCTGCTGGTCCAACCTGAAGAAAATGTATCCGAAAGTTGAATAAAATCCAGGCAATATGTTTTGAGAAATGTCCTTCATCCGATTTTGATTTAAAATACTGGACGATAAAGATACCGTAATCTCAAATGGGATGACGTGAACAAAAATGTTTCAAGTCACAAAACGCTGTCATGGAGGCTCAACCCCATATTGTCCCACGTTCTTTTCCGAGTTTCCCGTCATTTTTTACCTTACAGCCTGCTTTGGAGATGATAACTGAGACAAATTTGCTAATCCCGCTTTACAAAAAAAGAATATGTGATTTAGGCGGGGTCCTCTTGCCTTTCTTTCATAATAATTTCCGCGCGGGTGAAGGCCTGAAGCCCTAAACTTAAAAATTAACGTAAAATTTTGTTGTTGACGTAATTCAATGATTTAAAATCCATTGGAAATCCCTTTTTCATTTCGAGTATGCTTCGCACTGGACTTCATTCACCGAAAACTTGACTACTTTGAAAATTAAACATGCGTAGGTAAATGCTTAAGAAATAGAAAACTCCATCGCCCCCTATTAATTTTTTTTAATCATACTGGGATGGAAAGGGAATAAAAGTGTCTACTTTCCCGCTTGAAAATATAAAAACTCGGAGAGCTCTATTGAGGCATTTACGAGGTTGTGAACATCCAGCCCTCATATTTTTAATTTTTGTTTACATCGCAGTCGTTTACGGAGGAAAAAACCAGGATTGGGTCAGTAATGAAAATTTATAATAGAATGCAACTAATCTGTCAGATCAGATGCTTTTTCTCGCAAAGGTAGAGATGATGATGACTATCGAGTTATTCGAGTGATCGACATATGAAAATAGTCGTTCATGGCCTGGTCATCAAATTTACATTTCGCAGTTAAAAACAGTCTTCCAAAATTCTCTTCCTAACAGAAAAGTGGAATGGATCATGGAGAAAGCAAATGGCAGAGAACAATGCCAGGAAAAGCCAAACCTTTCGCAAGGCGGCAGCAGCAAAAACCCGCTCAACATCAGGAATACTGAGGAAAGCAGCAATCATTTTCCCCTTGAGCTCTGGAAATTCCACTAAATTTTCGACTGCTCCAAGGCGCTCGTGTATTTCTCCAACGTTACTCAGGGGCTGCGAAACCCACTTCCGAAGTAATCGACGACCACATCGGATTTTGACGGCATTCAGAAAACCCATCAAAGAACCCTCGAGTTTCCCATACGCAAAATTCTCAGTCAAGTCCAGACTTCGACAGGTAAAGTAAGGCAAGTCAATCGCACCCAAATTATTACTCAGATTAACCCAATTCCTGAAAAAAAGCAAGATGTAATGCGTTCTTGTCCCTGCCTCGAAGAATTTATTCCATTACTCAGGACTCCGCAAGGCCTTCGTTAAATCAAATGCCATGAGATGCCGCACCAATGCACTGAAACAGCCGAGCAGATGAGCTGGTGAGTCTCGTAAGAAATTTGCTCCGAATTGACTGATTTCGCCGTTTTGGTGTTGAAAAAATGACGTGGCCGTTAAAAGTGAATCCGTGAATTCGAAATAGTCTGCAGGAACATTTTCCAGTCTCACCGGATCTGCTGAATAACTGAAAACATTTTTTGCATGAACCATTTTGCAAACGCGTAGACAGACCAGAAAAAATGGACGGCTCTCATGTTGGGACAGACAGTGATGACTCCTAAATAGTTGGAATTTTATGTGAATATATATGAGTTCAATTTTTTCCATAACAGCTTGAATTTGCTGCATTTTTACAGGAAACATTTAAAATAAGACAACTCTCTTTTGGTCTCAAAGAATTGCGGAGAAAAACGCAAACTTTTTTGGATTGTATTCTATAGATGCGTATCGTCGATGGAAACCTTTTCAAATACAGTATTGAATATTGATTCAAAGCAGGAAACGAAAATCTAAAATTTTCAAAAAGCCGATCTAAACGCAAATTTGATAAAGCGTAACTTCTCGTTGTCTTCAGACTATGGTAATATTTAGATGAGCCCCAGAATCAAACAAAATTCATGATATACATCAGTATGTTCGAAGAACTTCGCTTTGAACCCTTAGAAAAATTCAAATCCTAGCAAAGAGATTTCAAAGATATTTGACAATAATCGACACCGTTTTTTCCATTGTCTGAATGAAGTTATAAAATTACAGTACTGTAATAGAAAATCAGAGTACAGTACCGCGATTGCACGAAGACATCCAACGTTTTCCACGTGGTCGGACTAAGATTTGCAATTCGGCAAATGAGTTCGCAAGGATGAATTCGATGGAGACGCTTGCAAAGTGCATTTCGGCTGAGGTCATCGACGAAAACGTCATATAAAACTTCCCTAGTTCCAACGTCAACCGCCTGAAAAAAAATCCAAATAAACTCGTCACCAATCTTTTCTTTTCCAAAAATTTTCGAATCAAGAATCCGAAGACAGACGAAAGTAATATCTGTGACAAAATTTACACGAACTCACGATTACCGCAATGGAAACCTCTTTTCTTCCCAAATCAGATGGCTTAGTGGAAGTTTCTGCAATTGCTAAAATAGACCTGCTACAATTCGAGGTATCGTCTTGCACCAGTTCTGGGATAATACTTGCAACTTTTGTTCAATCCCACAGTCAAGGGAAATTTTCGCTTTCAAAAATTGGCTATTATGACTATTCATGACCAACGAAAATGTGCTCCCCGGTCGATTTTGTTTTCGAGGAAAAAGAAGAAAACCTTTTATTTGAGCATAAGGCGGCGCTATTCTTCGTTTTCCATGAGATCATGAAAATGATTGCTCTCCTCAAATTTATAAATACATTACTGTAAATCATAGAAACCTGGACGATCTCCCGAATTTCAATTTTCGTGAAAAATATCACGACAAACGATTGTATTTTTGCGGACATTTCTTGAGCTTTGATTGGATATATTTCAATTTGAAAAAAAAAGTAATTCAGTGTTCCACGATGGAAAGAAATCAAGTGCAATGTAAAGGATATTTTCTCCGATCAGAGTCCCTTTGGTGTAAATGCCGTCAAACTCTCGACGAAAAATGCGGTCATCATATGTTCCAACAGCTTCAGATCCCCGTTGACTTACGATTCCAACTTTGTACCCTGTCACAGTAATGTGTGGACTTCAGATTCAAGGAAGGAAACGAAAACGTTCACTAAAAACCGTCATCTTCTCACCTTTGTGAACCAACTTTTGCAAGTGAACTTTCAGACGATGATGCGGAATGCTTCCTGAAAGCGTGGAGTGCGATGGGTTGGCTTGAATGTTCAGCTCTTTCTTAGCAATCTGCATGATCAATCGATTTAACGTAATAAATTTAAAGATATGGATATCTAGACTAATGAACGAAAACATTTATTTAACCTCTATGTTCAGAAATTAGTTCTTCCTTTTTGAACCGTAATGATTCTATGTGCAATTGCACGCCATTCCACAACTGAATTTCAGGCTGGCTAAAAATGTTCAAGTTTTCTTTGTAATTATCTTTTCCAAATTTTAGATAATGCTTGAAACAACAGAGCAATTTTAATATTCAGCTGGTTTGACACATTTTTAGCACCCTGTTACATGAGTGTCACTTATCATACAGAACGCAGTGAAGTAAAAAATTTGTTTAAAAATCCGAGAACTTTCAATATTTTGGGATATATCATGAATATTTTTTTAGTCATACCTAATCTACAAATAACCAAGGTCGTGCCCAAGTGGGACAACCTCGTATCATCCACGTGACAGCATGACATTTTCTTTGAAAGCGGGCATAGGTAATTTCAAAAACGGTAAAACATATTCCTTATGTATGAATGACATTCTCAAGCACACCTCTGCATCTTCGCCGAAGAAACGATAGCGGTAACCACATTCGACGAAAAGCAGGACGTCAGGATGCTCTGATTTTATCTCGGCAACTTGCTTCTCTAACGGGGTCCTTTCGTCGCGCTGGCGAAGCAACACTTTATCAACGTTGCTCCCATCAATAACGAAGCTTACTATTTCTTCCAAGTTAGGCACCGATTCAAATTCATCGCCAGATCTACTCTTTTTCGATCGCCCGTCTGTATCCGAAAACTGTCGTTTCATACCTGAAAGCGGAACAAGTGGCGACGTTGTTTCATTCAATTATTTTTCAAGCGCGATTTGTAAGCGCTGCTGATCAGAATTCATCTCGCATTCCGTCAGTTCAAGCGTTGACGACTTTCAGTTACATTTTTTATTAGCTCTTGTCTATGAGCACGAAAATTCCTTCTGTAAGACAACCTTCTTCACATGTCGCATCCACGAAGATTTTCTTACTATAATTCTCGTCGTTTCGCGGATATTATTTTCTGAAAAATGAATAAAAAATTATCGCGCTCCGCAAAACGAATTTAAAATGAAGTCATCGAAACTTCTTGGTATCCTGAAATATATTCAGTTTTATCAATTCATCCTCAAAGAAACAAGTATCGATCAACGAAAGTTTCGCTCAAAACCTGGAAAATGTCCCCCTATTGTCAATGTAACATTTCGAAGCACCACCGACAACAAACACAACATCTTGTCGCGATCTCACGGTGAGACTTCAACTGGAGTCAAACTGCAAACAATTATGTCGATTCTTCCGTCATCAAAATTGCGATCAGAAAGTAAAGCAAGTCCACATCCTAAGCATAATACGACGGCGAAACGAGCAAGTCCGTGAGCACTCCGAGCTGATCCTCAGAAAACTTGAGCTTGTGCTCCTGCCAATTGTCCAAATGAGTCCGCTTGAAATTGTTTAACGTCGTTTTTATTGTTGTCTGGAAAATCAAGAACAAATTAATGCATTTAGTTTTTTCCCTTTCCACGCCAGATGTTCTCAAACTCCAAGATTTTCTTCACAATTAACCAGATGTAGGCTGGATTTAGTCAGACTCCATCACGTTCAAGTTATGACAGCTTGCGCCACATTAAATTGCGTTGGTCCAGGTTTCCAATGAGCGAAATTAATGGATATTCTAGAAATTAATGGATATTGTAGAAGCGCAGTTGAAGTGAGAGGGATGATCACTGCCAATTAGGCTCCTAGTGCTGAATCTCTTGCACGCGAAAAAAAAAACTAAATAAATCGAAGATTTACAAGGACCCACGGAATCTCGATCATTTCCAGCGACAATCTTCCAGACTTACCGGGATTGGTTCGGGATCGTTGAGATGGTCCCCAAGGATCATGAGAAAGTCGGGCATAAAGTCTGGGACCTCGTAAGGGTAAGCATTCACAAACGCGCACAGCCCAAGAATCACGTAGTGCCGTTCCACTAACAACCTTCGTTTTTCCTCCAACTGCGAATCCGCCGATTCCATTTTCTCATGGCTGCACGAGAAAAATTCAAAGTTATATAAGGTGCACTGCAAAAGAAATTCTGAGCAGGAATTACCAGTCTGACCAATCAAAAGAAAATAAATTATTTACGCAGGTCATAATTTATTAGTACCGTATTAATTAGAATACAATATTACCCCTTTTCAAAATTTAGAATCTAAAACGTTGGTGGGTGCTTACATTAGCATATTTATGTAATTCGTTCAAATATGAGCAACCCTTTTTTCAATTTCTGGGGGAGCAGCAATACCGTTAGTTCTTCTTGAAGTTAAAATAAAATAATCAAGAAATAGTCAGCTTTTTGAACTTCAAGATCCATTGACTGAATGGGATGCGCAAGGGTAACTGACACTTTTTCCTTTTCTGGGGAAAGCCTGAATTCAGCCAGAAATTTTAGGTTCTTGAAAAGTCAGAAAGCCAGGAACGTAATGGGGTGCTTACATCCGCCAATTAATGGAAGTTTAATGTTATGCTTGAAAAAATCTAGAAGCTGTATACAGTATATTCGAGGAGTTCTCATATCCGCGTAAACAAGGTGAAGCAGCTGCTAAGCAATTTTAAGTTTATCGCGGAAAAAGTAAAAGTAACCAAACCTAAGTGACGACGATGTTATCCAAGAAAAACGCACAAAAAATGAACGATACATTAAAAAAAAACAGTAACTTACGATGGCACATGCATTCGCGAACTTCGCTTCCCCAGGGCTCGAACTCGCTTCATCAAATCATTCCTCAATTCAGTTTGAGCATGATCCTGAAGTATTTTACAGTGAAGAAGCCCACCCAGGACCTCGCCAGCCTTCTGGCGAACCTCTATTCGCTCATCTTTCAGTCCACTATAGACCAAATGACAAACTTTCGACATCCATTCTTGATGCGGACGAATCAGAAACATATTGTGGAAGCAGAACACTTGTAGGAAGCTCATTGCAGATACCCGCATCTTCCACGATTCGAACTCATAGGTCTGCAGAACAGCATAAATTTCGTCAGTATCAGAAGAAGTCTGCTTCAAGTACAGCTAATATCTTTCGATTTCCAACAGTGCTTGAAGAAAACAATATACATATAAATATATATAATTGCGGAAAGAACGGGAGGACTGCATCATACATGATTCAGTCAAAAGATTTACAAGAAGGGATCGGTTCAGTATGTCTAAATGCTGTGGATGGGGGAAAACCCACTGACCTTCTTCAACTGCTCCAACAGCGTCGGTACCAGGTCAGCCGCGTACAAGCTTCTGGAAAGGTAACTCAAGCACGCTTTACAAGAGCGTTTCAAGTCCAACTCTTGATCTTGTCCCTCCATCAACGCTAACTAAAAAGCGATCAAGAATTCTTAGAATTTCGTCCCAGCACGTAAAAGGACTGGATTTCATTCTTAATACAGTTTCATCGAAACATCTTCGTAACAGAAGAATCGAGGAACATCATAAGACTCTAGGTGATTCATTTCACCGACACACCCAACCTTCATCTTCGAAGTGTCGGACATATGTAATCTAAATCCCTAGCCTGACCACAACAAAAGAGTGGCTGATATTTGCAGAGCAAAATTTTGTTCAATTCTTCGCACGAAATCATTTCCCAAACTATGACAGTTCAGATTTTCCATCACTGGAAAGAATTACAGTACTGTCTTGGGAGTATTTCTAGTACTGTAGTAACACTTTCCCTTCTGATCATTTGAAATGGTTCTGGCAAATTTTTATGAACTCCGTCGCAATTGACTGAGATTTGAACTGCGTACTGTAATTCATTTGTGACGCGTAACTGACTTTTTATTCTTAAATCAGCCATGGTATGAAAATAAAGTGCGGGAAATTAAAAAAGTGGCAGATGTAAAAAAAAGTTTATGATTAGTCCCAATGATCTGATAATCTGAACTGCCACACTTAGAAATTAAACGCTGAATGAAAAAATGAACTTGGTACGCTGAATTCAACAGAAACCGTTCAAGTTCTATAGATAACTTCCAACTCACCAACGGGATTAACTCCAAGAAACCTCTCGGCGAAGAAACCACGGATCCTTTCAAGCAAATTATGACCATCTTGGCCACGGCATCCAGAAGCCTTTTGGCCTTCTTCACGGCCTCGCTTGCTTCGCCAGCCTAATCGACAAAAGCATCATTAAAAAGTTGATAATCAAGGATGTCAGATTTGCTCAACTTCAAAAGGAATTTCGAGACTAAGAAAATGCTATTTTTCAACAGAACTAATGCAGATTCAACAGGATTTGCCCAATGAAAATCACGCGCGTGTCGCACCTTATCTTCCGGAACAACAACGGTATCATCGCCACTTTCGTCGCATTCCATGGCTTCAGTCGGCTCGCATAATCTATCCAAACTGCTCATACCATCCTCCGCTCCATCACTTGTTGTCCGAATGCTAAGCAACGGTTGAAGATCGTTCAGAACACGTCCAATGACCTGACTTCTCGTCGGATTCAGGTTATTGACGTAACCTTCCAGTGGGATGTCCATGAGCAAGAGGGATGAGAATAAGCCGCTCACGCGTTCGCGCACATTTTGATACGGATGGCTCAGATGAGGATAAAAGTATTCCATCAACCTGAAGATAAATGAAGATCAGTATCAGGATTAAATTCAAATAATCAAACCACAAAGAACAGACGATAACTCACCTTTGATCCAGCTTGGCAATCCGCCACTGCGGCTGCGATATCGCGCTCTGAAGCGTAGTAATTCGATTTCCGTCAACGAAAGCACCACCATTCTTCAACGGATTTTCAGCAAGAGCCTGTCAATAAAAGCAAAACACGAATCGGTGACTTCAAGCCCATATACACCGAAGAGAATGTCTTCGCGAAGTCGAAACGCAAAATGCGCAACAGGCAATTTTTTTAACAACACACGTTCTATAAAATGCAGTTCGCAGTTAAAAATACCGACCACAAAACTTTCACGGGTTCTTTTCCCTTCAACGAACGACCTGGCTTTCTGAAATGTAACCAGTGGGTGTCCCCTGAATCAGAAGTAACCCAACGTACTTCCTCGACCTCCATCTTACCAAATTAAAATTGACTTGATTCAGACCAACTTACCTAGCAGCCAAGCGGAATATGAAACCATAGTCAGGCGACACCCATCCAACAACGACAAAAATCGAAGTTTGAAAGGCCGGGCATTCAAAAGGAAAGATTCTCATAAACTGCGTAATGAGTAGAAAAAAATGGCTCGTTCGTTTTTGACATAAAAATGTTGAGAAGAGACACAGATGGATATTTTAACTAATTTAACAAAATTAGAACCAGTTTCCCTCTCCACATTTTAGAATACAGTGCCTTATAACTCGGATATGCAGTATACAACTAATTTTTAATGACCTTTTTCATCATGAAATGATACATCTTTCTCCAAGCCTTCCTTTACTTTCCTTCCCTTCAAGACCCTGCATGTACACTTGAGAAATAAGCTCAAACAGTACTTTTTTAGATTTTTTAAGTGTTCCATGCTAAATTCACTGAACAAAAATCATAAAGGTACAACATTTCCTGCGCAGAACGCGTATCCTCACTTGTAAGTCCTGTGGGCCAGTGCATCAATTTCACGAAAGTGACATAATAGGGTTATTCTTGAGCAAATGTCCAAATGTGGTAATATTCTTTGGAAATATTTCTGAACATCTGAGGATTTACTGTATAAAATTGGCCAAGCTTGATTGAGAACCATACTAATTCTTTGAATCATAAGGGTGCCAGCCATTTCCGGAACATAGGCATAGACAAAGGACAGTGTGTTCCTGTTAGAATTGAGTCGAAGTCCAACCCAATGCTCATTTGTGTGGGATCTTTAACCCTGGATGGACTATTTTCTATTTCCTGAATTAGGAATTGTTGAAATGAAAAAAAATTTAAATTTAGCTCAACTCTTGAAGGACATGTCTTTGAAGGCAATCACAAATATACTGGAGAAAGTAAGACTAGCATGACCAATTTCGTTCGTGAAAATTTGAAAATTTGTTCGTGAGAATTGAATTGTAATACAATTTTGGGACTGAAGCCAAATATAATTCACTGAAGGCTATGATATCTTTAAATTTATCCGAAGTTGAAGATGTAATCGTTTGTAACAGTGTCCCAATACTTCTAGCAATAGCTGTTGCAGGGGTTCTCAGCTGTTTTCTTCAACAGGAGCAATCAAGCTTGCACTTTTTTCATTAAAAGTTTCTACATTTTTGCTTCCTTATGTTTAGAAAAATCAAACTGCAATGATTTATATTCAGAAAATTGTGCCCACACTGAATCCAATCCAAGAAAAAAATTTCATCTGCACATAGTTTTTCGGACCAGGACAGGGTTTTTTGACCATTGAGAGAGTGATGAAAAAATGAGTTATCTGCATCCTTAATAGTATTTGAATAGAAAAAATTCCAATTCAAATTTCCTTTGTATCTTTGGTATGTTACTGGTGAAATGGAATAACATTTTCCATGAAATAATAACTCACTAACATAAGTAAGTTTTATGCGCTAATTTGGAAAGTTTGAGAACCATGAAGAATGTAACTACTGTACTGAATATTTTAGAAACTTTTCAAGAAAAATATGTTAAAAATTAAAATTGCTGGTTCCAAAAGACTATTGTATGTTGAAAAAAATTGTCTGCCGGTCCGCAAAAACTTTTAACCCTACTTCACCGGTCCGCACACCCAATAAGGTTGGGGAACACTACTGCACAACATTTGACAAGTAAACTTACTCCGATCTCAACTTTAAAGAACACCGCGCATAGGGTAAAATCGAATAAAGGCAACTCTCGATATAGCTCGCAACGGTATAAATCCAAATCTTACCTCGAACACCCAGAAATATCGGTTCGGGTCCTTATCCTGGGTGCACAGAGAGAAGCAAGTGCTCCAATCAGAACTGGTCTCTGGAGTAACAGCAGCAAGACCACGTGCCATCAATGGCACAAGCCATTCCCGAAGTTCAACAACATCTTTGAAATTCCAGTGCTTGCAACCACGAACGAATGCTGCCAAAAGCTCAGCTCCCACGCGCTGCTTACTTTCCTTACTGTCTTCCACTAACCGTTCCAAATACGGGCGTAGAGTTTGAGACATACAGCTACCGAAGTTGCTCAGAAGGTGCTAAAAAAGAGAAAAACTCAGCTGTACAGAGCAACTTATACTCATAGCCAGGAACCAATGACAAAATCCTGTAAACAGGAAAAATTCGTCTTCGATACCTCATCAGATCTTCACGTTAAATAAAGGTTCATTTAACAAACCTTAAATAAGCTGAAATGTCGGGGGTCGAATTTGTCGTGCCCCTTGTTTTCTTCCAAACAAAAGAGGTCCATCAAATGTATCATCAGTTTCTCGTCCGTGAACATTTCGAAAACCAGTCTTTCCACCTCTTTCATTTCACTCGGATCTCGGTTCAACTTCGGTTGATTTTCATTCCCCGCATGAACATCGAGTACAGCAGGCCAGCAATACCATCCCAAGTAAGTTTTGTGTACAAACCGAACATCCGAATATTTCTCCTCATTTGTTGTCCAATGAGACTCGTCATACTGGATCCAAAAATTGTCTGGTCTATCCCCTGAATTCGGTGGTTTGAGTCCGGAAGGAGATGTTGTGGGAGGACGTTGAATCCCGAAAGGGACTTTCGCCCGAGGAGAAGATTTAACTTCAAGACTAACAGGATCCAGACTTACAACGAGATGAGGCCGCTTTTGCTGTCGCATAATGCAGCAAGTCATGTAGATGGCATGCTGAAAAAAGAAATACGCTAAATAATTGAAGAGTATGTAAACGACCAGGCAGACTTTCTCGGGTATCAGAACAGTATCGCCTGAATGAAAACTTAAAAAACCCAACTTGGGCACAATTAAACGTGAAACCATTCGGAAACACCTACGAGGTTATGAATAAAACTTCGGAGTCTGGGAAATACGTCTAAATAGGAGAATATAACAATATTTTGAAAAGGACGTTCGAACTCACTTTTCTGATGAACAGGTGATCGTTCGGTAACTGACGAAGAACTGCCTTCACGGCAATCACAGGCAGTTCGATGTCGCTGCGCATTAATGCGGAAAGCATCACCATGCCCATTGTTTTCCTCTTCCACAGGCTACGGTAAATAAACAAAGAAGATATATTCACAGTAGCTCACAGCGTATCATAACATTTCCTGATCACTGAACAGTGTCAGTTTGCCTCGAAGATAATCATGTACAGTAGGAAGACTTTCTCAAAAGCTTTCCGACTGGATATACAGTACAAAAATCTTGTTACAACAAAACTTATGGGACCTGGAAAAAGCTTCGTTATACTGTAAAACTAAATTCGCACGCGATTTGGATCAAATTGTGGCACTTGGGCACGGATCTGAAAAACGAAAAGAGATTCGTTGTAACGAGATTCTACTGTACTACTGATACCTTAAGGGTGATATATCGACAAGTTTTAGATTGTACATTTTGTGATTTCTCATTTTTTGATTTTTTTCCACAAAAAAAAAGGTTCCGAACATACGAACGTCCTCGAAAATTGCTTATTTCGAGAAGATGTCTAAAAAAGTAAAAATCCTCATAATTTTCAAGTTGTCTCGAGGAAAAATGCCCCGTTAATTCGGAGGATGCATGGAGAAATTTCCAATATAAATTCGTTCTGATGCAAACATGATCATATACATCAACTCGTGCAAACTCACAGTCCATCATCGCCCATATGAAGCAGCAGGTCGCCAATTGTCGAGACTAGATTCAAATAGCACTCTTTATTGCTTTCCGACTTTTTCTCCAGAGCAACTTTTCCGGCGGCAATATCAGCAACAGTAGGATACGGAGTGACATCCCGGCACTTTTTAAAACCAGGGATTTCTTGATTCCAAAGCATCTCAGCGGACTTCAACACTGAATCAGGAATCTGCGATCAAAATTTCACACAGATTTTCAAGAAACGTTATTCTAAATGCAACGGATATCAAACTATGGGGTTCAACGCTCAAAATTAGACGAACGAATCCACGCTAATTATTCATGCTGTAAAACGACCAGCAAAAAAAAAAGACCGGTTTTATCAATTCTGAAATTTTGGTAAACCTCTTCAAATGTATGATACCGAAGTTACTCGACCTCAAGCTGGATTTGAAAAACGTCCAGTCCATTCTGAATCACTCCTGAGCAGTGGTCTAGGAGCGCTATTACCGACGGCTTTTCTGACGGTTTGCACTTCAACAATGTAGGCCATAGCTTCATCAAAAGCTCCCACTCATGTTTCAAAAGGAGGGAATCCGATTTTGAACACAATAGATACAGAAGTCCCTGAAATGAGACGAACAAAATATACAGTTTAAATATTTAAAAAAAATACACACAGGAGTGAACTCACCTTGAAAAGCTCGTGATTCTCCACCGGATCTACCGTCATTTTTTCCAAAAATTCGTCAATAAAAAACTTGTACGTCGAGGGATAAAACCGAAGAAGATCCAGTAAGTGCTGTTGGCTATCTATTCTAACCTGGGATCGAATGCACAAAGAAAAAAGCCAAAAATGTATTATTTATTCAAAATTGAAAATGCCATGACCAACGGGGAAATTTCAGGAAATCCTGAATTTACAGACACAATTTAAACGCGGAATTATTGCGAAGGAACTAGTGAATTGAAAGCTACTCAATACACACTTCGAGAAAACCATTAAAATTTCCTCATACCAAGACAAACTGGGCTTAAACAATACAACGATTCGCAAAAAGCTAAGGTCTATAACGGATTTAAAGCTCAAAATCTTTCAACAGATGATCTTGAACCTCAAGGCAAACGTGATTCACCCATGAATAAGAGTAACTTACGTCATCGTAGCGAGAAGTGGCCATCTTTAGGAAGTCGTGATAGATCAAACGATGCCTCGCAGTCAGCGGCCACGGAGCACGCGAGAAACAACGTTCCTCCTGAACATTATGTAGCTGAGTAATCAAAACCGAACGCAAATTCCGGGGTCCTCTGCCGAGTCTGTCTCCCTGCGCTTGTTTCACCACGTTCCATGCTTGTCGGGAACGACTTTTCTGAGAGCTCTTCCGGATACCGAAGTCCATTGCCATCAATGAAAGAATCTGAAAAAGTAAAGAAAAACTCCTCGCTTCTATACTCGTTAAAAAAGATTAGAATCCAAATACTGTATTCCGTTTTTCAATAAAAAATAAGGGTACAGTAAAATAAATCGCACTGATTTCAATTCAAGATGATCCCACTCACTCCGCTGATCCCACACAATGTCCTCGGTTCTTCCTCGGGAGACCCAATCAAACGCTCGACAAGCTCATGCATTACTTCGGCGATACATGATCTGATATTCCGCCCCCCGAACGACAGAAATTTATAGCCATCCGGATATGATATTGTTGGCAAAACCAAAATATCAACAACGGACTCCGTGGTGATAATTGGTTCTTCATCCGTCCATGACGGCAGACCAACGATGCACATGAGCAAAATTTCGTCGATGATGTCCAATAACTTTTCAAGTTCTTCCCTGGAAATGAATACAAAACAAAACTTTAAAAAAACCCCGTTCATCTCATTTCAACACAAAAGAAACGCCCTGAAATGTAGACAGGTGTAGCCTAAATTCCTGGCCCAACTAAAAAACGAAAAAGCCAAACTTACCGAAACCTAATCGAACGTGATATAATCGTAATTCAAAGACAAAAACCTACCTCAGGAATAACCGAACAAAAAGCAATTGATCAGGCGACACCTAAATAATGACACGAAAAACCATGCAGGGAACGTCGGACCTAGTTAAATAAAAATTGAATTTAACAATACATGGTGGTTGAATAAAATATTCACTGCTTGCAAGTTAAACTTCTAAAATATTCGTCTTGCCAGTAATATCAATACTGTATAAAAGTTATTTCGCCACATACCGTTCAATGGAAATTTCTCTTCTCGCAAATTTCGTCAGTTCTTCAAAAATCGGTACCAAAGTTCTCTCCAACAATTTTTCCGCAATATCCGCGTGCTTCTCTGTGGGTATGTTCCACGTGGCTTCCAACTTCTTGACTTCTCCGCCTTTTCCCCAGTCACGAATGTATAAGCGTTTCGAAACTGGATCACTCAAAGGGAATGATACTGAACGAGACTCCAGGGGTTTGATCCGGATGAGAGAGTGAATAATACTGCCAATAATATTCGCAGCCACACTGTAGCCTTCCCTAGACTTCATTTTAAGGCATTTTTCGGCAATACCCGAGATGTCATCTACATACGGAACAATGGATTCTGATGTCGGTACGTGAACAACCTATTGAATGAAAAAGCGAAACGTCAATCGGAGCAAAATTGGAATGGATGTTCTTTTTATCACAATTAGAGAAAAGGCTGAATAACGCGTTAGAAAACTAATTACTGAACATTGCATAGAGAAGAGAACCAATTTCAGATCAACACAAAAATTTCCCTATCTTTGACACATCACTACCCACTCTTCGTTGAAGAAATATAATACTGTACAACCTTTTGGACTTTCAGACTCAAATTCTCATCACTCACGTACAACATGAACAACTCACGTACAACATGAACAAAACAAAGATTACGAACTTGACTCAAAAGCAGCAAATTGAAAAGAAGTTCCGAATCGCCGTTTTCGTCGGAAATATAATCCTGGCTGTCAATTATGGATTTGATGATTTTCAACAGCGGTGGCACAAACGCTTTCAGCGTTTTCTCCGGACAGACCTAAGCAAGTCAGAAGACGAATACAGTAATTCATAACCGATTATAATCGATTTGCAATATAAATTCCAGGCGCATAATTCCAGATAAATCATCAAACAAGGAAATCAACAAGGAAAGAAGATAATGAAGCCCTCACCTTTACAGCAGCTTTGACCATGCCAGCGGCGTATTTTCCGGAGACAGTCGTTTCCATCGTACGCCCAATGATATGGGACTGCAATTTCTCGAGAACGCTCTGTAAATTTTAATATCAATAACATCGAGATGGCGAAGATCGCGAGAAATGTCTAGATAGGGAAGACCCTCTCCAATCGAAATTAACTCACGACTTACCTCTAAAATGGAAGGAGAACATTGCTGAAATATGGTATGGCAAATCATGCCGATTGTTCGAGACGCAACTCGTTCTTCGAACGACATATTTCCCAGCTGCATACCCAAGTCGACGCGTTGAGTATTCGAACCTGAATGGGACGAACTGCTGTCAATAAAATTGAAACAGCGATCCAGAACTTGCAGCACGAAGTCTTCGCAAGACGCAGTTGTCTCACACAGCCGAATTTCACTCTGTAAATGTACATTAAAGCAATCTTCTGAGTTAAGATATTACATTAATTTATTTTTAGTGAAGAACAGCGAAGAGTTAAGACGATTAATACTGAATACTTTAAGTATGTAAGTATGTTCCAACACTAACCTCGGTCAAGTCTTGGTGATAATCCGAGGCGGATGAGCAATCAACGAACAAGACTTGCTCACTAAAAGCATGCATCAATTCCATGGTTGCCATAGTCTTACGAATATCATTCGGGTCGATTCCAGGAAGACATCTGAGCAGGATCGGAAGGACATGCTCAGGACCTTCTTCGAAACACGGCTCACCCTTCGTGCCGTAAAATCGTCCAGATATCATTGGTCTGCTTACTGCAGCCAAGCATTGAAACATCGCGGTTAGTCGATGCGGCTCTGTCACGGTTTCCAACGCTTCATATGTTCTGTGAATAACTTATGCAAATTAGCCATCATGACGAAGGGCGATAATGATCCCTGATGCAGGTAATCTACATTTAAAAAAATTGCATGTAGACGACTTACTGCCTGTATTCACAGGAAAAAAAATGTGAAGTGGAGATCTGGCAATGGAATCAATCGACAAAATATTTTAGCATGAGTATCCTCAGCAACCCGTTAAAAATTGAAAGTAAAATGGCAAAAAATCACAATTCTTCGGGCTTAAAGCGCCAGGAAATTCGCAAAGTACCATCACTTCCGAAGAGCCAAATTTTACTAAATCTAGCAGACAATCATTCGAGTAAAATAGCCTCCTTTTCATACGTGAGCAAAAAAATTAATTTGAAGAAGCTCAAAACTTGGAAGATCGCTGTAACTTTTCAAGTAGGTACAGTACCTTTTCTTCACAAGGAAAAACACGTCTTCTCATGCACATGCAAAACGTTAAAAATCAAAGAATGAGCATAAGAAGGTGTCCGACTATTACAGAAATCGGTCCTTTCAAAAGTTACAATGCGTCGACACTTCAGAGCTAAAAAGAATGCAGGTTCAGCGGAAGAAAAACAAGCACAGATTCCTTTGTTCACCTCTCTAGAATGCGAGGAATGACGATGTCGGGCCTGGCTTGAGAAAGCATCTGAAGAACGTACGATGCCGATTTCAAGCCCGACGGTGACCCAGTGCTCAACAACGCAGCCGGAAGTACACATCGAACAAAACGCTCGATATCACCGTCGCTTATTCGGTATTCCTCAGGATAAGTCCAATCCCAAGTTTTCTTTCGATACCGTTCCCTAAAAAATAATAGAAAAAAATTATGGTTTACTTATACAGTGCTTGTTATACTTCTCATTGTTCTCAAGTAAAAAAAAAGAAAGAAAAAAAAAGCGCCGAATATATTTAAATCTTCAACATCGTTCCACGATCCTTTTCTTTCTAAATGTGTACAAATACAACAATCAGGAACTTCATTCAAGAATGGCATCCAATTTAAAACACAGATATTGGAAAACGTTTTCACATAAGTAGTAAAAGCTAGATGTGATTGTTCTTTTATCACAGAAATCATTGAACGATTCGCAAAAAAGTTTCAAGGATTCTGGGGATCAATTCCAGTCACTTCGTAAGGCAGGGGAATCAAACCTCTAAATAATTCGTACTAGAATGGTAAGAAATGATAAATCAACAACTCAAAGAAGGGTGTAGAAACTACTGTTCGCTACCGCGACTTTCCACACTTGAGAAACGTAGGACAGTACCTATTCAGTCGGACGATGAAACCATCCACCAATGTGTACAGAAATTCTTGAAGCTGATGAACCCAACGCCCTGAGTTGACCGGATTGTAGTATGAATCCAAAGCATCAAACAAAATGTTCAATTGCGGCTGGCATGACTTCGGACCACCCTGTTGCATAAATTCCGTCACTAACTAAATTATATTTTTATAATGCAAATTTTTAACAAACCAAGCATGAAACGATTATTTTGACTACAGATGTCAAATCAAGCGAAGACTTCAAAGATTCTCTCAGGCCTTGGTAAGAGATAGGTAGTCCAAAACGGTGAAGCAGCTTGGAAAAGAACTGCAGGATATATCAAGAATACATTACAGATATAACAAGGATTTTTACAGAATTTCAAATCGAACACGCGACTTACAGTTGCATAATGTGGTTCCCAATCAATATAGCCAACATTATGTTCCGCCAAGCGACCCAGCAAAGTAAGAATATCCTGTTGAAAAAATGTTCAATTGCATAACCATCCGCAAACGTATTAGAAATTAAAAATTACGTTTTCATAAGTGATCCGGTTACTGCACGCAAGAGTGAAACCAAGAACTTCATCAAGCCACAACCTGAAACCTTGGCCATGTAGCTCCGGAGGCATCAAAACATTCAGAAACACTGACAAGTATTCAATTCCTTTGTGCATTGCCGAATCAAAAGGGCAAAGAAAAGGACGCCACTCCATCAACATTTCCTCTGTTGCTTCCCGAGGAAAATATCTACAAGGATCGGAGGAACGTCACTTCCACTTTCGAAATTCGTGGAGGAGACAAAGACTTACGGACTACATCGACGAATTAGTGTTTTTAGAACAGCTTTCAAGTTTCTAAAGGAAAAAAAAAATGTTACGCATTATTGCTGGAGGACTTCCACAGAAAATCAATTGAGTTTCACCTCGGTCGTGTGATAACTTTATCTTTTTGGAGGCGATCATTCGAATTCGCTTCCAATAATCTGTACAGGGGCCACCAGGGAAGCTCCAAATCATCTCGAGAGAGAAGCTCTCGTTTCCTGAAAAATTATGAATCTTATTCAAGCATTTCGGAAATTTTCCCTTCATCGAACTCGCTTACTTCAGCAGTAGACTCAACGTTTGAGCAACTTTGATGACAGAGAAGAAGTCCAAATCGGGAATACACAGTATGTCATAAAGAAGTTTCACGAAGGCAACATGATCTTCCTTCGAGAACTTCCAACCGAACAATTTGACGTACCTACAAAATCAATAAACGTAGGCTTGAAGTCATGATTGCAATCCTCACGAAGAAGTAAAATCATCGTTGAATTACCGTTGAAGCCTCGAGCAAAAGGAAACAAAGCCTGGACGTATTTCTCGCAATAAAATTGCTTTCGAAAGGTTCGCTTTCAATAGTATCAGGAGTTCATTCGACTCCGCGTCCAACTTCTCGGCGTAAGGAAGATGGTCATTAATTCTTCTTTCATGCTGTGGCCGGAAACCGAGCGCAGATGCACGTTCACTTAAATTCTCCGCATCGCCTGATATCTCGTCATCATCATCAGAAGTTGACCCCATACTTTTCAAGAAAAATAAAGAAGCTAATACGCTCTCAGGATTTCGCGACTCAGCCTGCAGAAGGAATAAATTACCACGAGTCAGTCATGACCTTCCTGCGTTTCGAACCACTAGATCATGAATTTCAAAGAAGTTCGAAGTTCCTTACTTACCATCCCGTTGATATCATTGGTCCTTTCGTAATCCAGCACACTTCAATCTAAATCGTTCAGGTTCCACGCGGACCTACTCATGGATAACACGAAGTGGAAACGCAGTTTTACTGATCATTTTCACTCACGTCACAATTGAACACTTACAACCTACATACTTGTCCGACTCAACCATGAAATACATACTGAACGAATGAAAATGAAATTTTGGCATCCAGTGGAGACTTTGAATCACATCTTCCACGGAGGAAATCACGCGGATAGCAGTCGCGGCTCGCAATCCAGCTTGGAAGATCACAGCGACTCCAGAAAGATAATTTACTTTTCGATTTCCTCACAGCTGTCACATTTACGGCTCATTCTGGCATGACAACAGGTAATCCTTCACTACGTTAACTCCTCTCGTCAACTCCGCGACCAATCTACGTCACGTTCTGACATTAATTTCGCTTCTTAAAGGGGGAAAACTTCGCCATGCTGGTTTACTTCTACAGTATTAGCCAACTCCGTTTCACATAAGTGTAGGTTGACTCGAACAGCTGCTCTATGCATGCGAAACATTCTCTTAAAGGTTACACGTACGTTTCTGAACATGTGAAAGGTAACAGAAACCGTCATGGACGCGTCCTTTGTTTTAATTCGTTTATTACCCGTCACCGCATATGCCATTATTGGAGGTGGATGCTATTCTTTCTTTTACTCTTCAATTCTTCATTGGTGTCTAATAAAAGTACATTCACTATTCAGCTATATAGAGGGGGAAACAAGAAAGGGCCTGATATGGATCACAGTGAATCCGCTCCTCTCAAGTGCACTGAAGTGAAGTTTATCGCACAACCCTAGCAAACTCATAGACTCATATGGAGCATAAAGTGCTGCATTCAGCTGCTCTTGATCAATAAAACTTCACTTCAGTGATGGAGGGGATTCACCGTGATCCAGGACTTATTTTCTTGTTTCCATGTGTAGCTGAATAGTCAATGAAAAAGACACAATTATAGCATTATTATAGACACCAATGAAATATTGAAGAGCAAATAAAAAATTGTATCCACCTCCATGATGACGGCAAGTCGCAGTTCATCTATATATATGAGGGTTGTTTCATATATATATATATATATTATGTGTACATATGTGTAGGCAATTTCACGACCGATTTCCTTTAAGCAATAATATATTTCTATTCTTTTGATGTGTGCAATATTATTTCTCCATTTTGCGTCCAACGAAAGTTCACTTTGGAAAATAAGTTATGCCGTTTCGACAAGAGAAATGCTGAAAATAATGATAGAAGTCTACGCCTCGAATTCCTCAATTTGCGCAATGGCACGCGGCGTTCAATGGCTTGGATGTTGTGATTCAACACCTGAAGCAAGCTTTCGGTCAACTCGCTATTAATTGGACAGCTTTCCACCTGCAGAGAGATATATACTTCAAATAAACAAAGGAAAATACTACAGCCAAATGTCCAATACCATCTCTTTCAAAGTGATCATCGCTGAATGTGCTGATTTCAACGACGAATCGTCATCGGCGACCGCGTTGAAAATTGACCAGCACTTCCGAGCTTCCGTAAACGCTACGTCCTCAGCGATCATGGATCGACCCGTTGTTTTGCTGATCCATTGTACCTGGGTTGCACTCTGAGAAACACATGACTGAGATTAGATTACTATGAAAAATGCCAATTTTTTTTTCGTAATCAGAACAGTTTTGCAAAATCAGCAGCAATCATGGATCATACTCAAGAAAAGCTCGAAATTATTTTTTTCCACATTAAAATCAACATATAGCTGCTATGCAGGCTTTTCATTAATTCCTCACAAGTTTTAAAAATCTTTGCATGGCTTCTCGTCTCCGGTCCTCAATCTCCTTTACTCTGATTTTGTCAACTGCTACCAGCATCTTTGCTTCTGTATCCAACATGCAGTACAATGCAGACTTCCTCTCTGCTCCACTCGTTGTAGCGTTTATTATTTTGAGTTGATCCTCTCGCCAAGTATTTAATGCGGATCGGGCTTCTTTGAGTTGTTTCCGATAGATGTTTGCGGATTTATGTGCTTTATGCGAGTGATGCTCAGTTGCGTTGGCGAATTCTTCTTCCTCCCTGAGAATCTCATCCATAAGTTCTTGTCCAAGGAGCATGTCTCGCAGTTCTTCCCATTGTTTAGTCGCGGCGCTTCGGACACTTTCCAAACGCTTTCTCGCAGCGTGAATTCGCCAGATTTTCTGAATTGTAATCGCCTACATGCATTGAAAAAAAAGAAGAGATGATGCACTTTTTTGATGAGAATAACGTCTCATTTCGAGAAATTCGATATAACACGCTGTATAAAAAAACAGAATAATCTATTGACGAATAAAATACGTGAACCCTGATGAGAAATATTTTCCATGCAGCATTATGTACGTGTTATATGCTGTAAAATTTTCTGGGTTCTCGGCATTAGCATGTACTGATGTAACATAAATGAAATCCCATGTCTGCCTTCATTATTTTTTTATTTGCTGCGGTGATGATATATGTTTTTGCACTGCTGCTGGTCATGTACGTTTGAACTTCTATCGAAAATTTCGAATCCCTTGGGGCCCCAACGTATGAAAATATATGCAGACGATTCGACTGATAAACAGTCGAAAAAAATCGTCAATATGTACGAATTTTTTTTTGGGTTTCAAGTCCCTTTATACATGTACAGCATTATTGAATGATTCAATAAATGACATTATTGTATATTAGTGTTGGTATTGCTCCTTTGTTTGGAAATCTACCATTAATTGATATTTTATGTACAAATTACGTACAGTATTGTTAAATTTGCACCGAACATTAAAAACAGAAAAAGTGCTGCATGGCAGCCATGGAGCAATTAAATACCCAGCAAGTACAGTAATGACGACGAATGCTGGAAAGAAAAGATATAGCTTATATGGAATTATATATACTGCGTATATAGTCAAAATTACAATGACTTGAAAAATATTTAATATGCACTGTACATCAGGATTATGAACTCATCGAAAAAAATAAATTAAAAAACTCACCGCGGGTTCGACAGAATTCAAATGAATATTAATTAGCACATCCTTTTTCGCTTTTATATATACTGCGGGTCATTATACAATTATACATATGCTGGATACTAAAGAGGGATTGACTTTGTCTATATATATAAGCTGTACATGATTGTAGACAGTATATTTACGGTTTATAAATGTGACTTTCAAAAATGTTGGGACGACCCAAAAATAATCGTATCAGGTATTCACACAGCGTACCTATCAACAATAATCAAATCGATCTCGTCAATCGACGAATTAAGATTAAAACAAATAAATTGACTGCTGGTAATATTTTACGTATTCTCTGCTGAAGATATTTGTATGCAGTAGATGAATACAGTAATGAACACTTACAGCATGGTTTTGTTTCTCTTGCTTTTTCCTGAAATCTTCGGGACTTCTTGAGCAAAGAGTCGCATGATGAGGAAAAAAAACCTGAGGCGAATAGTCCGGAGGAATATGATCCCAGAAAGGCGTTTGAGTACCTTTTTCGGCCACAGTTTGCACAGCGGTATTTTTAAGTCGCCGTAATGTTTGTACTCCCTTTGAGTTGGCTTGAATGACTGTCAAAATTATCAGATTTACCGTCACTGATTTATGATCAGACATAGTACAATGTGATCGTGCCTGAGAAATATCCCAGGTACTTGAGATACTGTACTCTTGTACTGATGCATCTTACAGTACTCACTCCTCGGAGACGCTTTCGTTCGAAACAAACGCCCAGTTTGAGTTGCGACATTGTAATATACAATGCCTGTTTTCCTATCTCGATAACCTCCAAAATATGCCAGGGATGGTTTCATCTTCTGTATTTTGTCGCACAGCTTGGACAGGACACGGGCATAATATTGATTCACTAGTTTCACTACTGCATCAGCAATTAGTAATTCAAAAAGGCATATTTACAATATAATAGAGCGCAGGCAATTAACCCCGACGCACGGCTAAGTTGCGCTGCTGGTAACAGCTAGATTATCTTTGAAAGAATACGGGCTTCGAATGATACTAGCCCAGGTTTCAAGCGTGCTGGAGTTACTAGGTCATCTTATATTGATCAAGCTGAGTGGAATCCGAAACGGCACAAACGTGCTGTTCGTGAAGTCGCAATGTGTGCGGGATGGGCAACACAGGCTTCCTATTTTCGACGATTGGTAGCGTCATCTATTTTATATATTTAAAGTTTTTTGGCGATGGAATCTTATTTGCTCAGAAGATAGGGCACTGCACATTCTCCAATTGGACTGTCGGCACGTCAAGGATAGGAAAAACCATATGGCGGCATCCATGAATGGTTTCACGATCGCGAAGATGAGTTCGGGGATTCTGCCGGGACGTGAATTTTGAAGATGGACTAAGCTCATTGACTAAAATACAGTATAGGAATGCTGATCGTGAATGTCGTAGTTGCTGATGAATACATTAGCGGAATTGTGATTGACGAGTGTCTCACTGAAAATGATGGTGTTCGTGTCTTGGAGGTGCATTCCAATCAACTTGATGTTTATCACCATGGAATCGAGGATCACGAGAAGTTCGAAGTCCAAACCATGAGTCGAACAGCTTTTTGCTTCTTGGCAGAATGTTCAGATTCGCCCGTGTTTCGGAGAGCTGTCTTTGATCATTGGACCCGAGGTAAGATGTCGCGCAGGAATGAACTTCTATATGTGAATATAGGCCATTCGAAAATCTAGCTGAACGATTGTTTTCGATTTGAATAGGACGGCAGTTATCAGCACTCCTTGATCTGCGCATCTCGGAACTTCAAGATTCTTGCGTTGGCGGAGCATGGAGCCGAAGACTGCAACGCTTAGTAAACGAACAAATCGAAGTTGACTACTTGGCATCTTGGTTGTCTACTCTTGGTGGCGCGTTTTCTGCTTTGGGAGACTCGTTGGCACATTGCGTAAGTTACGTATTGTAGCTGGAAGATCTCGTGACTTTCTACCGTAATATCATATCGGGGCTCGCTGAATTCTTATTATTGAAACGAATCTCCAACTTTAGTAATAGATTTCCATAGAAAGCTGTTAAATGCGCTTATCTCAACAGGCTGAAATCGCCGGAAAAATATCTAGGCAACAACACCTTCTGGCTTGTTGGTACGGCGATAGAATCACCGCTGCGAAGTGTCGAATATTCCATTCTATCAGCCTGATGCAAGGTGGAAAGTTTCTGCAAGCAAAGCAGATCATACGCTCAGAATATGCATTTGCCAAGTCATTGCCTGTGAATCAGAGAGACAAGCGTTTGGAGAACATGTGTCTTGGAGTTTGGGCGAAGTTACGTTATTTGCGCTCCGTTGCTCATCGAAAACCGGCTGCACATATGCAATAGAATACGTGATACTGATATTTTTACTTGGAAAATCGATCTCTAAAATTGTGTGATTCTCAATTCTGTGGCTTGGATTGTCGGGGAATTCCGAGCTGGATTGTTCTATCATATTTCTTGCGTTTTGTTTTTGGGTTTGAACGATATTCTTTCTGTCGTTCCAGGAAATAATTTTATTGCAATGGTTATCGGGTGTGGTAATGCCCTGAAAGGCATGCGAAGCTCTTCTACCGTTAAAGTGCATTGTAAGAAAGAGAAATTGAAGCATCGCTTTGAAATCATCCGGAAGCTCGGTGAGGGAACTTGTGGAAAGGTGCAACTTGGACTTAATCGAGAAACCGGTCAGCAGGTCGGTATTCGTTATATTCCCACCTTCCAAGTTTTATTTCCTGTTGAATTCCTCAGAATTTCGCTTACGGTTTAAATTGACGTATTGTACTTGATTATGAAACGTACAAAGCGTTGGTATCCACTGAAAAAAATTTTTTGGCCGCAAAACTTCCGAAGTCACTTGAACAGGGTGGCGTAATAGTCTATTCTAGCCTTTCTATGACCGCAATCGATCTTCTGTTCTTTTTCTGCGTAGGTCGCTGTCAAAATCATCAAGAAATCAAAAATACAAACGGATGAAGACTTGATAAGAATTCGTCGGGAAATACAGATCATGTCCAGTGTTCGACATCCCAGTATCATACCCATCTTAGAAGTTTTCGAAAATAAAGACAAGATCGTGCTTGTTATGGAGTATGCTGCTGGGGGTGAACTTTATGACTATATTGTTGGAAAGTGTGGGCTTTTGGAACCTGACGCACGACGAATCTTTCGCCAAATCGCTGCTGCTGTCTATTATTGTCACAAGGTATCATCATGATTTCTACACTCAAGCCAATTTTTTCCCCTAATTCTTCATCTTGAGAGATAATTTTCCTTATTCTAATGAAACGCTGAAGTAGGAATTTCTCGATGGTGTTAAAGACTTGTTGGACAAACGGATGATTTTTGAATTATGCTGCAGAAATTTAATTTTTTGGTATAACGGTTGTCTAGATACTGTAGAACTCCGATGCATTTTTAATCTAAAGAATTGTTATCCATTTGTAAGGGTATTTTAAGATTTTCAAGACCTAGACGACTGACCGTACTGTACATCAAACCTGCTATTCGTTTCAGCACAATATTTGTCACCGGGATCTGAAACTGGAGAATGTGTTGATGGATGAGAACGGAAACGCTAAGGTGAGTTAAATTGATTTGGTTAAACGTCTTACTTCTTGTTTAATGTACGGCGAATACACTTTTGAGTTATGTTTCATCCTCGAATCTTGACTGATGAAGATCGCTGATTTTGGGCTGTCAAATGTCTTTGATGAGAAGCGGAAGTTGACGACGTATTGTGGAAGTCCTTTGTACGCCTCCCCGGAAGTTGTAAAGGGAGTGCCGTATACTGGGCCAGAAATTGACTGCTGGTATCTCAAATATTTGTTTTTGAGACTGGAATGATTTCAACTAATTGAATGTGCATTTTTTGAAAATGGGTGGATTGATCCCAGTCATCCCACTAATGAAAGCAATTAAAGGCAGGCATGGAAAGGCTACCAGATTAATGAAAATGTTATGAACGATGCAACACCTGTCTGATAACCTCCCAATCCTAAACGTATTAAACCTCACGGTCCTACTGATCGCTTTTTTTTTTTTTTTTAACATCTTATCACGACATACAGCAGCACATGTAAACATCTAGTGTTGAGTAATTTTGCTGCGTGCTGTTGACCCGGAATCAGTTTTGCTTTTGCCGTGCATGTGATGCAAGCTCACGTTTCACCGGACCTCTTCTTTACTGATAGACTTCTTGCTTTCTTCGTTAGGTCTCTGGGAGTAATGTTGTACACATTGGTATACAGCGCAATGCCGTTTGATGGCTCGAATTTCAAACGACTTGTGAAGCAAATCACGACCGGTGATTTTAAAGAGCCGGGCGAGAAGTCAGGTATGTTGATCCTTACTGTCCCAAATACACTACGATTAAGTCATTCGATTATTTCGTTCCGTAATCGCTGTCATTGAATTTTACCGTTTCTTGTACGGGTTAGAGGTTTAATTTGTTCTCAGTTTCGTCTTCAACACGAAAAGTTGTTCGGCGAAACATTTCGAAGAAATATAAAATTGAAAATTGATGATTGGCCTCGACTGTACCCAGCTTCCGGTTGACATGATCTTTTCCGCAGGTGCTTCGGACTTGATCAAAGGCATGCTGACGCCGGATCCAACGAAACGCCTCAAGATCGATCAGATCTGTTCACATTCATGGGTGAACGAAGGTTATGAAGTTTCCTGCTTAAACGTCGCTAATGAACTCGTCAAGCAAACTCCAGTGCGCCTTGGTTTATTGCTCTCCTTGGCTCCAAGTCCCAAGTCCTGTGAAAAACTCGTTGTCAATTCAGACGAAGAAGATGAGTCTCTCAGCTTGTCCACTGTTGTAAGTTTCCACTTGAACGAACTACCGATTTATATGTTGAATTGTAAATTTAGCCCTGAAATGATTTAAATAACAAACTCCATGCTTGCCAGTCGGAATTATGTAGGTTTTCAGAGAGTTCCTTGTATCTTTGTATTGAGAATCATCCGTTGCATTTTAGTTGATCTATCGAAGTGACGAATTTTTCTAGCTTGGAAAGATTTTTTTGGCGATTGAGGAGTTTTAATTATACGCTTGATCATCCTGAGTTCTTTTTTTTTGCTTTCTCGTGTGAAAAAAATCTGCTGCTGTTGCTCACAAGGGTTGATCGAGTGCCTGGATGCATCATATATAAAATTATTCATCTTACTTGAAAATTATTGAATTAAGTGAGGAATTCGTCGGTTTTCACTTTTGGGGTTTGAACGTTTGATAGCCGGACGACGAGCCACCTCCGTTGACTGACGACGAAAATTCAGGAACGTTGGAAAATATACGCGATAAATTCGAAAAAGAGCTAAGCGAGGAAAAAGACAATCCAGAACCGCAAGATGATTCTAAGCAGGTAGTATCATCGGGAAATTCTTCGGATCATCTTCAAGTGACTGAAGACGACGAGGATGCACAAAAGACTCCGACGCCGTTTGCTGACGAATCTTCTCCATTTGGAATGAAGCTTGCTGGTGCAAAAACAAGTCAGCACCTGCCTCTAGTCGGAGCGAGGATGCCCTCCGGAATTTATGCGTGCGGTCTGTCTCATTCCTTGAGCCTCAATCAGGTAAATCACGACGGAAAGTTCTAAAATGAACGATCTCCTGGCGTTATCCGCTCAGGGTTTATGATTATTCGGGAAGATTCTACGGCAATGCGTGCTAGAATTGGTTCCGATGTCTGTGTCAGAAGAATAAAATAAAGTTTTTTTTTTTATTCTAATGACTGCTTTTTTTTTTCCAATACAATGAAAGACTCCTTGGAAAATGCCTGAGGAGCACCCGGGGGATAAGACACCAACGTTAGAAAAAAGTATGGATACCTTCGGATCGCCGGAAAATGTCCCAATCCATGCGTCAGATTCGATCGCATCAGAGGAGGAGGCAGTTGTTGGACCAGAACAGCCATCGACTTCACCATCGCAGACTACATCTCCCGCGAAAAAAAAGTCGTCATTATCGTTTTCACTGGCTCCTGTTGATGAGCATGAAGAACCGCAACCGCACAAGACGAAAGTTATCTCCAGTGTATCTTTCAAAGTTGCACCCGTCAAACTTGCTGAGCAGCTTGGATTCCGAACAGTGCAGGAAGAAAATCGTGCTGACGACGTGTGAGTTAGAAAAAAATTATTTGTGCAATGCGGAGGGCAGCTGTTGTAATTAACGTTTCATGCGTCACCTAAATTGAGTACATTTTCTCAACGAAGAAATAGCAGTTGTATGTCAGACATCCACACAGAACGGTGTGAATTTCAATCATCTCTTGAAAAGTGTTCCACGATTTCCATCTTGACAATTTTATATCGATTCTGGTGAGGTGACACTAGGTACAGTATTGAGTGGAGATGTGGAGTGCAGTAAATTACGATATTCAGTTTTTACCGCTAATATCATAGGCTGCTGGTAGCTAGAATTCAACGCGATTCAGACAACATCAGTCTGAAAGCATAAGTCGGTCAGTCGTTCCGGTGAGAAGAACCTCGGTTATATTATTGAAGTACTGTATTTACGGTCATAGACTCGTAGTTCTTGCTTAAAGTTTCTGCCATTCTTAAACCTTCGTCACTCCATCGTCGATTAAAAATGGAAATCTTTCGTAGATGTTCTGCAACCTCGAGGATGTCATCGAAAATGAACGAAGCTGGAGCCATCCATAAGCTGCCGGTTTTGCACCATAGTCCTCGAGAATGTATAATACCGATAGCATTGGAAGAAGGGGGTTATGCTCCAACTCCCTCTTCGTCGGTTACTTCAATCGCTTCGGAGTCGTCGACTTCCAGTCGTCAGACTCGTTCCTCGAGCTTTCAACGTATCAGCGGTAACCCCGATTCGCTGCGCAGCAGAGTTCACTCCTTCTTCAACGACGATAATCAAGAGAATTCCAGGCATTTGGTGCGGAAGAGCTCTGAAGGTAATGCGAGGGTTGCGTCCTGTCGATATCAATTTCGATTGCATCTGTAAAATAAATGCGATTAAGATGCTGTCTTGTTCACGTAGGGAACGAACACCGATTTGGAACTAACTTGGAGCAACGAGCGACGACTTCTCGTTATAGGAGATATGCTTCTACTCTATCGGCTTCATCTCTGGATGATGCTGAGGATGTGGACAAATTGAACGCTGCAGCAATTGGGTGAGTATTCGTAGCTTGGTGCAAAAATTAATCTTCCGTCGATTCATTTTCGTTGCGCGTACTCCGACAATTCGGTTTGCGGTGAATCGATCGACGAGGAATTCTTCTAAATCTAATACTATATCTGGAGAATTGAAGACAAGAAGCGGCGCATTTTTCTCAAATTCTCTCCTGTCGAAAACTTTACCTAGTTCTTGAAAATCCAGGATGAAAAGAAGAATTGACAAGAGTAATACAGTACATTGAAACGAATTTTTGAAGAAAAAGTTGGAAGTCCAAATTAAAAATCATTCACCTTCGGCTAAGATTTTTTTGGTTTACTAAGAAGACAACATTGCGGCTTTGAATAAGCAGCTAACAAAAATCAAGAAAGTACTATTTTTATGAAAGCTTTTACGCTGGATTTATGCACTTCTGAAGTAGAGTACGTTGAATTGGGTAAGAATTATATTCAGCTGGACTCTCCAAAGAAACTGAATAAACTAGAGAAAATTCATGGAAGAGAAATTCTGTAACATGAGGTCAGAAGCTTATGGGAGCACAAGGAAATCGTAGAGAGTTCACCTATAAAACCTATTGGGGGAGGGGGGGGGGGGGGGTTTGATGTAGAATACTGTTTGAAATGGAGCAATTCTAAGATTTCTCGAGACAAATTTTCACGTGTTCGAGAACTTCTAAAAAGAGCTCTTATTCCGATTTTTGACGAAGAGTTGAACGAGTTTAAATTTTGCACTCGAGACTCGAATTTTTTTTACACGATTCTTACTCGGCGTCTTGAAACCGAAGTTGACATGATTTCCGCGTTCGTTCGAGTAGTTCAAGACCACGCTTGAAGCTGAAACTTGAAAAGAGGGATAGTGTGAGTTCAACGGACGACGAAGACGATGACGATTTCGAGATACTCAGTGCGGATTCTCTCTTCAACTCAATGCTGGCTCGGGTTCGCGGATTTTCTCGAACCATTCGTTCGAACGATGATCATTTTGGCATATCGAGGAACTTGGGCGCCTCAGCGTTTTCGTCTTCCACGAATTCCTTGCTGGGTTCATTCAACAAAGGCCAACTCTTCTCCAACTGTGGGTTCGGGTGGGATCGTGACGAAGAATGGGATGATTTTTTTCGGTAATTCTGCATCCCGTCAGTCAATTTTCGAGCTTGTGTTTTTGCTGCGTCAATGTTAGTCGCCCTTTCATCCTTCCTCAGTTCCTTTATGTTCGTTATTTTTTTCTGGCTTGCGGAAAGCCTTACGAAATGAGCTTCTTTGGACCGTTGGTCTGTGCAAAGGTATTCTTTATTAGTAAAGCATTTCCTTGTTTTCCAATAGTAATTCAGAAATTCTTTTGACGGATCAGCAGCCACTCGCATCTATACTTGTATGTAAACTCTTCACGCAACATGGAATTCCGTGCCCTTTAAGTTTTTGAATCTTCCATTTTTGATGAGGTGTTCCGCTGTTGAACTTCGACTACAACGAACATTTTGCGTATCCAATTCGTTGTACCAATGATTTGTTGTAGAAAGACTGGTTTTGAAAAGTAGGACCTTGTATCCCATGTTTTCTGATGCTGACGTGATCAAAGAAAAATTTTTGTTTTCAATCGAGAAGAATATTTGAATTAATTAGTGGAACTCAGTGCCGGATACGTGTTAAATGTAAGCTTTCGTAAATATTAACAAGAGCATTTTACGGCAATCACGTTTTAGAGTTCGTCATGGTCGTATCAGTTAAGCAATTCGAAAAATTGCGCTTAGCATTCGATACTGTACTTTATTCATCTTACCAGGCAGTGGGAATCGTGTTGTACTAATAGATATCTCTATGATGACATTTGTGTTGGAGATTGCAATAAAGATGACAATCGCACTGTCTCAAGTTCTTCGTTGTTCGCCGTTGAAATCATCTTGGGTTCACTTCAATGTTTTTTTTTTTTTTCACAGGATTGGTGTGATATCTTGTGTTAAGTGCTTTTCGAGACCTAAATCATGGAGCAGTTGGAAATGTACGAAGCCCAGAAAACTGGAATGAATACTCAAACGAGCATGACTTCGGGCGGCGTTGTTGCAGGCAGAGCGGCCTGTCGCAAGTGCGGTTACCCTGGACATCTCACTCATCAATGCAGAAATTTTCTTCAAGTGAAGCCGAACAAGGATGTGGTTCTCGATGTGAGCAGCACGAGCAGTGAATCCGAAGAGGAAGTTACTCCCTTGACTAAACTCCAACTTGAAGAGCTGAAAGCGAAATTGAAAGCTAAAGCAGATGAGAAAAGACGCAGGAAAGAGGAGAAGCGGAAAAAGAAAAAGGAGAAGAAGCGAAGAAAGCGGGATTCTAGCAGTGACGAAGATTCTGATGACAAAAAAAAGAAAAGCAAAAAGAAGTATTCTTCCGAAGATTCCTCGAGCACTAAACGAAAGCATAAGAAAGCGCATCGTAATTCCTCCCGCGATCGCCGTAGGAGTAGAAGTTGATGCATCATCCATTTATATTTAGTGATCCCGATTTTTTAAATAAAATGTTTTTTCATGTTCCCGATTTTTCTCAAGTTCGGAAAGTATTTTAAAATCCTGTATTCCATTTTCTTCAAGGTTTTTGTTTTGTTGAAGATCTTAAACAACAGTCGCGTAAGTGCAAATCATGACTGACGACGCATTCGCAGACAATGCAGAAACTGCAATTGCTCCGACCAACGAGTCATTGTTCCCGCCTGTTGTTTCTGCTGAAATTCCGGAAATCAAGCTGTTCGGAAAGTGGAGCACGGACGATGTGCAGGTTTCCGATATTTCATTGACGGTGAGTTTTCCTTCTTTTCGAACAACACTCATGACGAAGAGATTATCTTATTAGTAACTCTGTACAATGTGCATGACTCGAAAAGAAATTCAACTGAAAATCTTATTATAGCTCCTGTTTCGAGTATTAGTGCAATTCTGCGTCAGAAATACTCGTCGGATGTACAAGTACACGTCTGGTTGATGAAATATTTTTTTAATTTGTTTCGTGCAGACTAGTTCGTATATTGCATTGCATATCATACACATAACCGTGAATCTTTGTGTTAGGATTACATCGCCGTTAAGGAGAAGTCCGCTAGGTTTTTGCCGCATTCATCTGGTCGTTATGCTGCAAAACGGTTCCGGAAGGCTCTGTGCCCCATTGTTGAGCGATTGACCAACAGCTTGATGATGCATGGACGGAACAACGGCAAGAAACTCATGGCTGTGCGAATTGTGAAGCACGCCTTTGAGATCATTCATCTGCTCACCGGCGAGGTTAGTATGTCTGTATACCTCCATTTCGGGAAATAGGGACGACAAAAATTTAATGTATTGAGAAACATCATTAATCTACGGTATTTCGATTACGCTTCCGTATCCGAAGACGGATTAACCGTTTCATATACAGCATGTCGCTGGAAGTCGCGATTTCGTTTCAATACAAAACTGAGTCGTTCGAATTTCAATTCTCTGTCCGGTTTCTTTTCGAGTGATCATGAGCATTGACACCAAAGCACATTGTGCCGATGGGTTGTTCGAGGAACTTTTGTGAAATGACAGCCATTCGTTGCACCTCTGCATGTACTTCATTTGAGAATTAAAACATGCTGAGAAAGCCCACTTTCCCGCGAGGAAAAGAAACTTTTTTTCCGCCGAAAACATTTTTAGACTCCCGGTGATAATTACGGTAGCAAGATTTTCTTCAAGATTCGGGTTCTTTTCCATTTTTAAAATTTTGAAGTCAAGCCTTTTGTGCGACGTATGTCTTGGTAATACGTCATATTCAAAGTAAAAATGTTCGCGTATCGCCTCTCAACTCTTTCTACAGTATCTTTCTGTGCTTCTGTTGAGTGAAAGGAATATTCGGCATTATTTTGAATGCGTTTAAAAACGTGTAATTCACTGTCAGAATCCGCTGCAAGTGTTGGTGAATGCGATCATCAATTCTGGTCCGCGAGAAGATTCGACTCGTATTGGACGTGCCGGTACAGTTCGTCGTCAGGCTGTCGACGTTTCACCATTGCGTCGCGTGAATTTGGTTAGTAAAATTTTTCGTTTTGTCTGCTATTTTTCGACTAAAGACGATCTGTAATCGAAGATGCATAAGCGAAGAAGTATTAGTTTCCGTAATTACTAAACAAGCTTTTACATGAGAATAGATCAATAGACCCATGGAGTTATCAACGTAAATTGCCGGATTCTGCGTCAACTTACGTTATCCGAAATGTTACGTGACGAGAAAATTCTGATACTGAAAATAATGAAAAATATCTCACACGACGCTCATCTGCGTTATAAATAAAAGAACATTCAACTCGAGTACGGTATTTTTGGAGGATATGAATATATAATGTCCCACTTCTCTGTGGTTTCGCACTTTCGCAGCAGATTTGCATTTTTGAGTAATGCAAATGCACGTTTTTCCGAGAATAAAATTTGAGAGTCGTGCGATGTCTTCGTATATTTTCCTTTTTTACGAGCGTACACATTTAAAGTTTAACCCATGAAAATACTGTAGTACCCTTAAAAATAATGCTTAACAATATTTTTGTTCCGATTAGGCTATTTGGCTCCTTTGCACGGGTGCTCGCGAAGCCGCGTTTCACAACATCAAAACGATTGCTGAGTGCTTGGCTGATGAACTAATCAACGCTGCCAAGGGCTCGTCAAATTCGCACGCCATCAAGAAGAAGGACGAACTTGAGCGTGTAGCCAAGTCCAATCGTTAAAGCGGCGTCTTTTTCCGCGATATTTGTTCGTGTACAATTTCCTTGCTTTCGGTTGAAAGCCGGATAACACGACCGGAGAGGATGAAAGAAGTTTGCCACTGAAGCCTGTGTTTGATTGTTTTTCTTTGTACTGTATTTGGAATTGAGAACTGTCGCAATTACCGCTTTACGTAATGTATTCAAAATTTTATTTTCAGAAACTTCTATTTTCTGTGTGCGAGTCGTTGTAGACTTCCATTCGTTACTTTGTATCGTCTCTGGAATGATGGACAAGGATCTCTTGGACATTCTTACCGACCTTGAGTAAGTAATTGGGCTCATTTTACTGATAGGCATGATTTCATTTTCAGTCAGCTGCTCGATGGCGGCAGTGTAGGAATAACAAATGATTATTTCGTGATTTTGCGCCATTTTTCAAGCATTTTCGGTATGTATGGCTACCGAATCCACTACTGCGGAGTAGTGGATAATAACTTTGCGAATAGTATATCCTGAAGCAAGCATCTGTTGTTGTTCCCAAAATGTTTACTGCTGAAACCTGAAAGAGTTCTAGAAAAGAACCTGGATTGTGATGATTTTCATTCGGAAGCAATCCGGAGGAGCAATTGAACAGCGCTAGTTCACAACGTAGCAAGTCTTCGAATTTATTTTATTCGTACTGTACTAGGTCAGTTCTTGGGTTTTGATCTGCTGCTCAATTGCTTCCTTTTGCTTATGTTTTTCTGTTCGATTCGGTACCTATAATTTTCAAGTAAATTTCTTCTTGGTTGAAGTGTGTAACTCTGTACGAGTGGGTTGAGAAATTGCCTCGATTATTATGGTCTAATGTTTTTTACGTTTCCTTGGTTCATCGTTTGGGAAGAAACGACATGTATTATGCGTCGAAATTAGGAAAACGGAAGCTTCCTCTTTCGAATTATTTAAACCCGTTTAGGAAGAGCGCTCCTCGGGCCTTGTTCTCTGGAGATCTTGAAAATTGCGCGAGAGGTCATCGTCTGTTGGCATCTTCGATTTAATGACGTGAAACTTTTCGAAAATGTTACTTTATTCTTCCAGGTATAATGGGCCTTTGTTGGACGAAATGAAACTAAAGGAGGCATTGAACGCTGGGCAACGCAGTGTGGAATACACACAAGTCGTCGCGTGGCTCTCAGCAGAGTTGCGCCAATTGTGCAACCTTGAAGAGCAAGTTAACCCTGTTGTCAACCCTGAAGATTCTTCGCATTTCATGATGGAGCTGTCTTCGTTTTTGAAAGAGCTCCGTAAGTTTCACCTTTTTGTAAAACCTTCCGGAATGATTCGTTTTTAAAATTTCCGGACTTCACAGAATATTGGTTGTCCAAAAGGTCCTCCTGTGCCACGAGACGAATCGAAAGTTGACGAATTTCCTCTATTTCTTCATCACAGTGACACATTTTTCTATTGCAATACAGTGCTGTAACATTTGTGAATCGCGATGTGTTCGAGTAATTTTAGTGGATTACTGTGTATTAAAGTACTACCCCCCCCCCCCGAAATTAAGTGAATTTTCTCAGTTAACCTGCACAACGAACGCGACTCAGCGTGTGGTATATTGAGAGGTGTACAGTACTGGGAGAGTGTCTCAAATTTAAAATTTGCGAATTCGATTAATTTTGATACCCTGAACTACACATGTTATGCTTGCCTTTGGGCTTGGGAGTGTTTTTGTTCTGTTTTCGAAAGGGTTTTTCGTTTTTCGTAGACTGTCCACATCCTCTGCTAACGGAGGGAGCATTGAGTAAGCGGTTAGGAGATTACAAGAGTCGTGCCATTTTGCTGGAGTTTTTGGCGACCGAACTGCAAGCGGCACGCATGATCAACGTGCAACGCCTCAAATCACCGAGCAAGTCACAAGTTTTAGTCGGAGAATCCGAAACAGCCGCGTCTCTGCGGATAATTTTACAATCCTTGGGGTTGTCTCGTCCGCCCGAAAACGTCACGGCAGCACAGATTTTTCAGAAAACGCAGTCCAAGGTGAAATATGATTCATAGTTTAAATCTTCTTCCAGTCCCACTTTTTATTGAACCGTCTGTAATGCAGATGATGACTCATTTTCGTCTCTTTTTTTTCGGTGCACTGAAGTTATCGGAGATTCTGTCGAAGCTACCGAATGGGTCGCTTGGTGAGCCTTTGTTCCACAAAAATTTGTCAGGAAATCAATGGCAGCAGTTGGAGAAACTGCTGTCGGATTTTTCTCAGGAATACTCTTTACGAAGGCAAATGTTACTCACCAGGTTGGACGTCACAATCCAGTCATTCAAAGTGCGTGTGTATTTTATTTCAACTTTCTTTAACGGTTGTGTATATGTTGCATGCTCACAATTTCATTTGTAATTTTAATGCACGATTTATGTTTGTCTTTCTAGTTCGAGGTCATAAATCGTATTTATTGCGGACGTGTATTTTCTCCCGAATGGTGTCACGAAATTACACTAAAATTGTCTGCCCTGGATTTTCGTAGCGCTTTCCTTGGTCGAGTCTTTATTTTTGGTCTATTTTATATTTTTGTTTTTCGTGAATTGAATAAAATTTTAGGCAAAGTTCTGCATGGAAATTCCAACAGATTTTTCGTGGATTTTTTTTCTTTTTCTTAATGATTAGGATCAGTTTTTGTGAAAACCAGTTATTGTTCTTTTAAAATTTTAGGCTAGTGGAAATGGTTTTTTTTCGAATATTTCGTGTACATCGACTTCTTTCCATGAAGAAAAGATTTCATTGCGCAAAATTTGATAGAAGTCCGTATTTTTTAAAACGATTATCATACGTGTAACCTGATATTCCTATGATGGATTTGTCCATTGGTTTTTGTTTTTGAGTTCAAAGGAATAAAAAATATATTCCAGGGTAGAAAGAAAATGAATCGTTTGATGGGTACGAGTCTTTTTTTTTCTGTCTTCTCTACAGTACTCTAAAAAAACCTCATTGATCATTTACAGCGCGTCCTAACGTCTCTTTGTTCCTACTTGAGGTGATATCGTGTTGGTCGACTGATCGAAAATTTTGAAAAACTTGTATTGGTGCGCGTAATCATTTTAGATTAAGTTTTTCGCATGATTTGAATTTACCGTATTTTTCAGTGGTCTGAAAAACTGAAGGAGGAATCCGAGAAGGTCATAGAAGCCTACAAGCAACAGCGAAGTTATTTGTCCCAGGAACCGGACGTGATTTTTGCCGACTTCCTCGCCGCGCGGAAAGATCTCGCTATTTTGGAAAAAACCTCTTCTGCCGCAGTCCGACTGGCGACGAAGTCTCATCTCAATGACGTTCTTATCGGGCACGTTCCGGACCGCGGCGGTCGTCCCTCCGAGCAAGCCGCCCCGCCGCCAGAAATGCCTTCCTGGCAAAAGCAGCGTGCTCAAGGTCCGCAGTCAGCTGGAGGAGGAGGTGGCGGCGGCCGCGGTGGAGGTGGTTTTCGCGGTGGGCGAGTTCAGGGCCAGCACAGGGACGATGGCGGACGTGGAGGATATCGAGGCAGCGGTGGGGGTTGGGGAGGGCGCGGTCGTGGGGGATTCAATCAGTCGTACGATAATAATTACAACTACAGTGGTCGAGGCGGAGGGGGTGGTGGGGGCAGCGGTGGCGGTGGGTATTCTGGGCGTGGCAGAGGACGAGGAGGGTATTAGAAACGAGCGTCTTGTCGCTACTGCTTCTGTTAACGGGGACGAAGTGATTCTCAGAAGGACAAGGCTTTACGTTTCCCTGAGCATTAAATCATCGTTTTAGTTCCGCACTTCACGTGCGTGACGTGCTTGAATCAAAGTTCACAACTTTTGTAGTTATCTCGATTTCCGAGTCATTAGTAGATTCAGCATGGTGCAGTGAACAGGACTAAAACTCGAACAAAAATTTAAGTCCATCTTCGAAAATTTACGGGTTATTTTTTCAAATTTTCGAAGCATATTTCTTATTTTTTCCTCTTCATCAATCGAGAACGATGTTGTCTGATCTAAAGTATGAAGAAAAATAAATTTGCTGATTACTTGTAGAAGTTCTTGAATTTTACAACCTGATGGAAAAAATTGGGCAAAGTACCGCGAGTTCGTATTGTTCTTAATAGTTACTAACATGGATTCGTACCAAAGCCACGAAGCTAGTCCTAAATGAGAATGTACCTTCTTCCCTACGATCAACTTGAGCATAGCTAAGGCGCTGTGGTCCTGGAAACTTCGACTTTTATTGTGATCCTGGCTATTTTTCCGAGAAATGATGGAACAACAGCTGGTCATTGTTGGCGGGGGTGAGAATGAAATTTTCGCTTGTTGCATTTCCGTCGCTTTCAATGTCGATTCATTTATCGCCATTACAAGAAGTCGTGTCGCTCTTCCTCGAATACCGGCAGTGAAAACATTTTTAACGCAGTATTTCGGCATTCTGAGATTTTCGGAAGTCTTCTGCCATCTTTCATCGGAGTTAGTCAAACGCATCTTTGGGTTTTCCCATACGTCCTCTTGTCCGAAATATTTCGGCAAGCGGTCGAACTGAAATGAAGGAAATAAGAGCTAAATTGAGACGTGGTAGACCCTGAAGTATTTTGGTACCCAATTGATGCTCTGTCTGTGTCCCGAACTCATTTTGGAAATGTTTCGAACTGACAATGAAATCCATCTGTGAGATAATCTCCGACTGCCTTAACTTCATCGATATATCTTCTGTACTGTAATCGCTCAAATAAACTGCTGCCGCTTTTTTTTTTTTTTAAACTTAGGAAGTTCGTATTGCCCGTTACACTGTGCTTGATTCACGAAGTACAGTAATTGCTACTTTCCTTTTTTGAAGGAAGACAGATACTCGAGATGTGTGACTCATGACCCTCTCAGTTCTTCAATTTATTTTAACTGGAGCTCGGAACCAAAGTATAAGTCACACGCAAGAGAAAATAAATTTTAGTGAAATGCAATTTACAATTAGTTTTTATTGATTTTTTTCTCATTTCCGTGCTGCCAATAACGGGAGGATGCAAAACCAAAGCTTATAGATTTGCTTATGACTTCATTGATGGTTGGAAAGCCTGTTATGTTCGGTCATTTTCGTGTCGAGCCGAGGAAGGGCGCGAGGGTAACTTATGATGGCGAGAGCAGAAGGTTGTTTTTAAATGAGGAATTTTCTGTGACAATTTCATTTTTATCTAGGCTTTTTTGAAGGATTAGTTTTGATTTGAAAAAATGAATGGTGATAAATCTGCGCCTTCGGACCTCAAAAGTCTGTTGAACTTCTCGATACGAGCTACCGGTGAAGGAAGCGATGAGCCAAAAGACAGCGAAAATGCGGAGAGACACGGCATCGATTCCGAAAGGGCCGAGTGGCTTCGCCAAGTCCTCGCCAACCTAACCGTGGACATTCCCGAAGAACTCCGCAAAAACCTCGCCGATTTATGTGCGGAAAATGCCTCCGAAAGCGATCAAGTCGAAGCTCTGGATGCAATCCTCGACATCGTAGACGACCTCAACTACGCCACAGACTTCTTCAAAGTGGGTGGTTTCAGAGTTTTGCTCAGGTACCTTCGGGAATCCGACAGCCCCCCGGTGCGTGCCAAATGCGGTGAAGTGATCGCCGAACTCGTGCAGAATCACGAATGGGCCCAAAAGGAAGCGCTTTCTCACAACGGATTAGAAGTTCTCGTCGCCGCTTTCCTCGAAGACAATGACGTGAATGTCAAGACCACCACGTTCTCCGCCATCGCGAGACTGGTTCGGGATTCCGAAGAGTTGGTCCGCCATTTTGGAGCCCAGCATGCTGACGTGGTCGCCACGGCTTTAGAGCCGAGTGCACCACTGAAGTTGAAAACGAAAGCCAGCTTCTTCCTCAATCACATTCTGGTTTTAGTGCCCGAAGTTGTCAAGTGCTTTTCTGCGTGTGTAGACAAACTTGCGATGGCCTTCGGAACTGATTCAGTCACGAATGCTTTTGTGTTGGGTGCTTTGAGGTTGCTGTGGACTCTGGAAGTTGCCGAGCAACAGAAGGACTTCATATTTAAAGTTTCGCAGAGGAAGAATGAGATTGAGAGTGATGATCAGTATTTAGACGAATTCAACCAGGCGCAATCTTTTTTGAAACGAGTCCACGTTGTTGAAATGGGATGAAATTATTTGTTGATCGTTTTCACCATCTGTGGTATGTTTTTTTTTTCGTGGCTCTGAGTAATGAAGATTTTTTTGTGTGATTTTTAAAATTATGAATGTCTAATACTTGAGTGCTGTATATCGTTGATGCTGCCAACTCGAACACAAATGATTATTCAAGTGCAATGTCGATTGATCTGTCAACAGGGAGACCCTTAGGGTCGCTAGACACAGGATAGATGCCGACTTTCCTACTGTTCGCTGCGCGAGCCAGGAACCTGATTCCTGATTAGACGGGTGAGAATGTTCGACGCTAATTTTCGGTTCTCTAAGAAAAGGAATTAGCTTTTCTAAAACTTCCGCAGAAGAACGTCCCATAAGCAAGCGAATGATTGGCTCCATCTTATTTTTTCCTTTTTTTTGTTACGATTTTCCTTCGTGAAATTAAATCGGTGATTCTTGCTGTTGTTTGGACCGTAATCAGGCAACTTCAAATTCATTGTATCGCCGGAAAGTTTTGAAACTTTTGAACGATTCTGGAGAAGGAAATTAAATGTACTGCCCATGTCTCTGAATTGGATGTATCGCAGAACGAATCATTATCGACATTTTCATTCGAATATTCCAGGGAAACCTGCATTCTCATCGCTCCGCTGTTCGTCGAAGGATGACTCCGGCGGAATACTTGTATTATCTCTTCAATTCCATGTTGCTTGGAGAAGAACCGGTGAGAAATCGTCGGTTGTAGACCGACATCCAGAACTAGGCTCTAATTTAGTGATTTTTTGGTCTTGTATGATTTATGTTCGGAACGTAAAAGTTTTTCATTTGGTAATCGCATTGTTCCTGCAAATACAGAAATGTAATGTCCCTCGTTTTCATGGATTAAAAATTGGGTTGAAGTTATTTTCTATTTCCTTTCTCAGACCATCGAGGACGTGATCTTATTGGTAGGAACTGGAGTAGCATTGATAGCATTCATCCTTTGGTGTTGTTTCCCGATCGTTCCAAAAGAACCTGTGGTGGAAGATGACGACTCTAAATACATGCAGCAGCAGAGAACGGAAGGCTATGATCCCCGCATGTATTAATGCTAAGTGTTATCTCTAAGTGGACGTTTATGAAGCCTGTGTGGGTATAATGCGGGAAGATCAGCATTTCTTTTTCCCTCTGTGATTTTTTGGATTTTTGTGTTCATTTGAGTGCTATGATGTTTTGTATTTTGTAACAGTGGGATGACATATCGGCTAGGATTGTGCGTTGTGATTATCGTCCCGTAGTCAAGTAATTTATTTCGACGTACCAAGATCTCTAGCGCAAACGATTCCCCGAGTGATCTCAAAACCAGACGGAAAATTTGCATCTTTCAATATAATGTCGGACATTTCATGTTTGGCAGTTCTAGTCGATGATTATATGAAATGGTTTTGTGGAAGTGTTCTTGTTCTTCGCGGATGTTCTGTCAGCCATGCTCGTGTTGTTCCAAGGCGGACGGAAATTTTTAAAAATGGAACCGAGTGCTTGCCAGGATTATGTTAATAAATTTTGTTGGATTGAACAAGGTTTTCTTTTTGAAAAGGAACCAGCAATGTTCCCTCAGATCTCTTCCTTTTCTTGAAATGCGTATAGTGGCGTGTGGTTCTGTGTCCCCTGTATGATAAACATTGGGCCAAAATCAAAGCTGATAAGTCACCTGAACAAATTTGGGCATTAAACAGAAAATACAATGCTGAAACTCAGATAGGACAGTCTTGATCTCTTGTGGGGAAAAAGTCAGAAGAGCACAAATTGCCAAGAAAAATACAATACTGTACTGTCTCTTGTAAATAAGCTGTCTCCAAGATTCTGTCCAGTCAGCTGCCAGTACCAGTTGGTATAGCCATTGTCACATAGCTGGCAAATGCCAGTCAGTCCACTTGTGAGCCAGAGCAGTCGTTGGTCTTGCCAATCCCAGCCCACCTAACTGCAGTTGGGTCACCAAATTGCTAGGGAACCCCAACAATTGGGTGACTAGAATTGCATTGATTCTAAAAACCTGGTTGCACTGACTTTCCAGGCTTTGGTGTGCAGAATTTTTTTCTGCTACAGTACAATTACTTTTTTTTTGAAAATTTCAGCAATGTTAGGTTATGTCAGTTTAGTTGAGGTTGGGTTTGATGAGTTTTTTTCTTTTTGTGAAAATTTTTAGAAAATGAAATTTTGTACAAAAGTTCTTTCTAGGATAAATTCCAGGGATTGGTGAGGCCAAGGACTGCCCTTGCTGGTGGTTGGACTGACAGGTGTTTGCTGGCTGGTGGATGTGCCACCCTGGTTTGACCAATTGGTGGCTGACCAGGTACCCTAGGATTCCTAGAAAACACACTCATGGGATTATTTCCAGTGCTCACACTATATGGTACACAGAATGTTCCTTACTTTCAGTGTTGGTAGGTAAATTCATGCCTGCTGCTGCGGGCAATTAGTAACACTGAGAATTTGATGCAGAAGTCAGTTTTGCCTTGCATGGAGCTTCTCATTAATCAATGGGTCATGTGGTTGTCATAATTCATTAACACCGTTCATGGAAGCGACTCTATGTACGAATAATACATGAGCATACAGCGTAATGTATATGAGCAGTTCCGAGGAGCCATTCAAATTGTCCAAATGACACCCTGACAAAGGGTAAGCAACTCGCGTGCTTATACCGTACTCGTCAATTTTGTTGGTGTAACATGATGGTCTGTTGACCCTATTCCTTCGAATGAGTACCCGGTAACTTGACTACAGTTTTACATGAAAGAAAAAATCAGGAGAGTACTGTACTTGAAAGCCCCAGGAATTAGTTTGAGGTGTGGTAGGCCGCATCATGAACCCTACCAACCGCTGATCATGCATATCACTGGTCAACCGTCGCCGCCGACATTCAGGGGATGAGCATGGGCGCTAGCACATAACCAGGAAAACAAGAACTTGAACGGCGCACTGGATCCATGAGGGTGGGATGAATTTTCAAAAATTAAGTAGTGTCGATTCCTCCTCCCTCCGCTCTATCTAAGAAAGAGAGAAACGTTATAAACTGAGAGAAATTAATTAAAATTTTAAAGAAAAAATCCATAATTTGTGAAAGAGGAACAACCGTATCTATGAAAAAATAATTGCTTCATTAATAAATTGTATTTTGTTGTTTCAGATGTAATGAATCACAAGAGACAATTGCGCAGCTGAAGTTTCATAATTTAAATTTAAACAAACAGCCAAAGAAAGGCACACTCATTCCTAAATTTGTAGCACTGTATTCATGACTATTCAAAACGTATACAGCGCCTGCATACTAATATGCCACATGCAAATGTCACAACATAGCCTAAATAATGAAGAACAACTACAGTATACGTTTTATTATGAAAAGAAAAAAGCATGCTGACTGAGTCCAATATCTGAAAAGTGCGGCGGAATAAAGCTAAACTGCTTACTGCAAGGAATAACGAGAAAGAGGAAGTCACATTTCGGACACAAGCATAATTCACAGAGCCTATTCGAAAGAAGGTAACCTACTCGCTGGGAAATCCATGTTATGGTTATCCAGTTAGGGAAAGTTCCTGGCGAATTTGGGAGGATTTGAGTGATTGACCGCTGGATGAGTACTGTAGTTATTCGCTGAGTGAAACGGAGGAGAGTGAAGGGGAGTCGATGACGAGATTCAATGTTTTACTTCGGCGAAGTATTCCATACTCGGTTGAAGTGACCTGTGATAAAACAAGGAAGAGAGATCTATTAGTAAGAAGATCGTTGTTTTTGTTGTAGCCAGAACTGAGTTAACGGCAATCCGATGCCGAAAATTACTCTCGAAAATTGCGGCGTATTTCCACATCGACGTGCTCGTGCGTTTGTCGTGTCCAGTGCATTTTTTGGTACACTTCGATGCTCAATGAAAAAAATGTGCTTGAAGTTAATTTAGGCTTTCGAATTGTATCTATTCAGCGGTTTCGATTGTTCTCATTCGCGTGCGTGAAAATACAGTATTGTCATCGGCCATATTATTGAATGGCGCGTTAGCTTTACACTTTTACAATACTGTACAGTACTTCCATTCTTATGTATGCTCTCAAATTTTGCAGGGAGAGGAACCCTTCGTTTGTTACTTATAGAATCAGTGATCATGAACTCGGATGAGAAAGCATCATTGAAAGAGCTCGATGGGTGGATTGAGCTACTAAACGAATGCAAACAGTTACCGGAGAATCAAGTTCGAACATTGTGCGAAAAGGCTAAAGAGATTCTTGCGAAGGAATCGAACGTCCAAGAAGTCAAGTGTCCGGTCACCGTCTGCGGAGATGTTCACGGCCAATTTCACGATCTCATGGAGTTGTTCCGAATCGGTGGCAGATCACCTGATACCAACTACCTATTCATGGGGGACTATGTTGATAGAGGGTATTACTCCGTTGAAACCGTGACTCTGCTCGTAGCTTTGAAGGTCCGCTACAAGGACAGGATAACTATTCTGCGCGGTAACCATGAATCCCGTCAGATCACACAGGTGTACGGATTTTATGATGAATGTCTTCGGAAGTACGGCAATGCGAACGTTTGGAAGTACTTCACGGATTTATTCGACTACTTGCCGCTCACAGCACTTGTTGACTCGCAGATTTTCTGCCTTCACGGGGGATTAAGTCCGTCAATTGACTCTCTTGACCACATCAAAGCCCTCGATAGACTCCAGGAAGTTCCTCATGAAGGACCTATGTGCGATTTGCTATGGTCAGATCCAGATGACCGTGGCGGCTGGGGAATTTCTCCTCGTGGTGCGGGTTATACTTTCGGGCAAGATATTTCCGAAACATTCAATCACTCGAATGGGTTGACTCTGGTGGCCCGAGCGCATCAGCTGGTGATGGAAGGATACAACTGGTGTCACGATAGAAATGTTGTTACGATTTTCTCGGCTCCCAATTACTGCTACCGTTGTGGGAACCAAGCTGCTATCATGGAACTGGACGACTGCCTGAAGTACTCTTTCTTGCAGTTCGATCCTGCTCCCCGTCGTGGAGAGCCGCATGTTACTAGGAGGACCCCTGATTATTTCTTGTGAGCCTACATGATCAACCTCCCAGCCGTGAAGAAACAAACTACTTCTACTATAGAACGTATTGTTGGGAAATGGAGACGTGAAACATAGGTGGCGAATTGTAAGAGATCCTGGAAGAATTCTATGTGGAAATGAGTGTAGAGTGTGAAAGACGCTTTAAAATCAGGTTAATTTCCCTTTTCCGGTGTCCGCAATGGTTTTTATGAGGTTCAGAATTTCAGTCGCTTGATGAGAGCTTGACTCGTATTAAAAACCTCGGGATGTCAAAAATGTTGATTTCCTTTATTCTCGAATACGAAAGAAATGTAACACAGGGATCCAAAGTCCTTGGATCTCTGAGATTTCAAACCTAAGTTGGAGAAAAAATTCAGAAAAATTTAACTGCATTGTTCTGTTACTTGCTCGTATGTTTTCTTTGTGTTCTCTCTTTTAAGCATTGTGAAACGCTAGCAAGTCTTAGCGATGTCTAACACCCCGGTTCAACCCTTGTTATTTCGACCTGTTGTTATTTTTTGAATTCTTCGAGCATTTCCTAATTTTTTAAAAAGAGTTGAAACATGAACTGAAAATCGTTTCAATTTCCGCGAATGTCGGGTGTGAGTGAATGGCGACTTGGTTCCGATTGACGAATGAAGGCGATTGGTTGTGCATGCTTGTCTATATGGAAATCGTATCATCCATGATCTGAATTGTCCATTGATAAAATTTTTATTTATGTTTACATCAAGGTGAAGTCGCGGTTCGCGTGCCGCTAGTCGTTTCATTTCCACTTTCAGTATGTCTGAAGCACTTTCCTTGTCAGTGATTCTTCATAAATGGGTGAGTCTCTCTTCCGTCGTCTTGAGATTTTTTAATACATGTACTGTATCCGTTGTAATTCATTGATATCTATTGCTCTGTGGATAACCGATCGCCTCTATTTCGTTAGATGCGAGATTTGAAACTGGTCAAGTCTTCGGAGGGTCCTTCGATTGGCTCGAATCATTTCCTCGAACTGCTTATTCGACTGAAGTAAGATTTCTTCACTTCCGTCATGATTATTTGATACTGTAATTTCGTATTTCATCGACATTCAGGAAAAAACCGAATCTTCTGTTGCAAAAGAGACAGCAAGATGCAACAAGCGCTTCAAACTTTCGTTCGGTATTATTAGAAGTGAAATCAGGTTAGTATTGAGCGTAAGCGTTTCAAATTAATTGTACTTGACATTCTTGTGTTTTCAGCGTTTATTTCGGACTTGAAATTCGATACCGAATCATTGCTGAAAGAAGAGTGGAATGAAGCTAAGGGCAAACTCGCTTTGGCAATTTTATGCATGTGCTGCATTATCCTGAAAGATCTCGATTCTCCGTTACTGAAGGCATTGCATGGAATGCCTTCAGATCACCAGAAGGTCATTGAGCGGGCATTGAGTGCGTTGAACGTTGATTCAGGTTTGTGCCCTCCACTTGTTCATCATGTAACTACGGAAACAAAGAAGCAGAATTTCCTTTTTATCAAAGACGCCGATCCTGATTTGATCACGCTGCTATCTCTATTTAAAAACTTAAGTTCTCGTTCAAGGAAGATAAATCGCTCAATTCCTTGCGTTTGTCGCAATGTACAGCTCTGATCCTCTTCATTCTCTGGATTGCAGTGTGGAGTACTTCAATTAAATGCTTGAAATTTTTATCCTGAAAATTTTCGTTGTTGAATTCATAATTAGTGCAACTTGTTTTGCTATGTCTGGGGAGTGAATCATGAAGATGAACATCTGTAAAGTAGGATTCAATTTTTTGCATGGTCTAGTGCCAAATACTGTACCGAGTGTGTTGAGGAAAAATGTACTTTTCGCGATGTACGACGCGCGAGATGAAACTGAATGAACTACAATGGAATTTTTTCTTTCCAATTTTCAGAGAAACTGACGGACATTCTGTTCGACGAGGTATTAAGCTGTGGCAAAGAGCGATGTGATCAGTCACCAGAATCTAGCCGTGGGATCAAAAGGAAGAGTTGCGATTGGATTAAATCCCCTTTGTCCAAGTTTTGGGATGTAAGTTTTTTTTATCAATTGATGGATCACAATTTTCGTAATACAGTATTTTTTTCTGCATTTTATGTCATGCCCACTGTATATCTATCTGATTTTAATTTTATTTCGCAGAGTCCTCATTCGCGGATTCTATCTTCTGAAAAACGGCGTACTGCGAAGTTGGAGACTGTACGGAGTGAACTTCGTAATGCCCGTTCAGAAAACGATGAGCTGATCAAACGACTAGAAGAGCTCGAAACAGAGAAAAAATTCGATGGTATTTTTCAAACTTCACGTAGATTTTGTAGCTCTGTTTTGATCTGCCAATTTTATCGTAGCATCAAGAATTCAAGCGCTGGAGTCCTCCTTGAAATCGGCGAAGCATGACTACAAAACTTTGGAGACGTTGTTGGTAAAATCTGATGGCAGCGGCAGCGAGGAAATGGAGGAAAAATTGGATCGCATTTTGAGTCAGTTGAGGGAAGCGAAGGATGATTTTAAAGCGGAGAAGGAATTCCGCGCTCTCGTTGAATCCAGGGAGTTGGCCGCGAATGAAAAGGTAATCTTTCTTGTACAGTAGAATTTCGTTTCAACAAAGCCATGTGGGCAAGTGAAATATCTTCGTTAAGGAAGAAAATTCGTCATAAGCTAACTCAAATAAGATTGGAGCTATAGGACAGGGGCGTAAAATTAATATTGTTGCAATCTAATATTCGTTATAACGAGATGTATTGTGACGAGATTCTACCGTATAATCCTTTATTCATATCCAAATTTAGAAATTATGTCTGTATTATCCTGAAATTTTCTGTGTAGTGATGAATTCGTAATCAACTTGATCAGTTTCTATTTTGTCCATTGTATTAACGATTCGTTTATATCCACTTGTTCAGTTAAACATTTTTTTGGATTACCTACTTCGCGAGAATTTTCTATGGTTTTATCAGTATGCAGCTTGACGAACTACTGTACTCTGATTATTGACCATGTTAGTACTGTTGCTTGTTTTCAGCTTTGCGAATCGTCTATTTTCAGATTGAGAAGATGCAGTTATCCGTCACAAAACTCACCGAAGAACGAGATTCCGCCTTGAGAGCGATGGAAGAAATCGACGCGTTATCCGAACATGCTTTGTCCGCTGAAGCGGAACTTCGTCATCAAGTGGCAGCTCTGACTGAACATGGGAAGAAGCTTGAAGAAGAACTCGATATGTATCACAATGATGCCCAGCCAAAAAAGTCCCGCCGATCCCCATCACCGCTTGAAGAAGGGGAAGACTTGACGTGTGTCCTTGAAGAGAAAATCAACGACTTGACCAATGAGCTGAGAAATGCAAAATCGGAATTCGAGAAGGTTTCGAACGAACGTGCGGAACTGTCAAGCAAATTCGAATCGCAAGTGAAATCTGCCGCGGAAAAGGCGAGATTCATTTCTACGTTGACTAGTGAAACCAAGCGGTTGAAGGTGGACATGGCGAACCAGAGGAATGCCTATGATTCAAAGGTTGCCAATTTGGAAATGAGACTTGCGAAGGCTACGAAAGAGAAAAATACGGCAACTTTGGCCCTTCAGGATCTCCACGAGACCTGTGATGAACAGGTGACGAAAATAAATTCTTTGGAAAAACAAGTGGCGGAAAAAACAGCACTCGAGATGGAGATCAAAAATTTGAAGGCTGCTCAAAAATCGACCGAGGAAAAGATGAAAATTAAGGAAATGGAGAGTGCTAGTGCTGCCCATTCTGCAAAGGTGCGGGATTCTTCTTAATTCTTGTAAATCTGACTAAAACTTCTCAGTCGGCATAAAATCGTTGAACCTTGAACTAATGATTGAAATTCAAAATTTTGATATATTGCTCGATTTTTTTAAGGAGGTGGAGGAATCCGACAATCATATACACGCGGAAATACTGAGTTTGCGCCAGAGTTTGTCTGAATCCGACGAAGTTAGGCAACAATTAGCGTCGGAATTAAAGGACGCGAATAACGGGTTTGCCCAAGCTCAAAAACAACTTTGTGAAGTACGTGCGAGACTTGCGCAAATCGAGGAGCAAAATGCTTCCGACAAGCGAGATTTGCAGGCAAAAATCGATGCGGCGCAGCTACAGTTTGAGGAGAAAAATGGATTGCTCGAGCAAGCTACGAGGCGTTTGGAAGAGTCTGACGAAGCGAGACAAGAGCTCATCAGCGAGTTGCTGGATACCAGAAATTCTTACGCTAGTTTCCAGGTAAAGTGACGTGCTGAAAAGCACATGTTCCGACAAACTTCTACATGATGTCAGTTTTTGACTGGGGAATTATTTTTCGTTGAAGCCCGAATGCTTTTGACTCATTCGACGTTTCTCAGCGCTTTCTAATCCTCGTGTTTCCTTTGACTTCATTCTTCTATTCACCTAAAACTCTTGAAACTATTTTGACATTTGAATTGACGACTGTGCAAAATTTCATGTATTCCAGGAGAAAATGAATACGATCCGATCTGCCCATGGAAAGGAAAGAGAAGATATGCAGAAGGCAACTGCAGATCTGAAAGATTCTTTGGAAGCTGCCTCTTCGAAGCTAAAAGAGCAGGAATCGAAAATCAATGCACTCTTAGCCGAGGTAATTTAAAAGTTTCCCTGTGTTTTAAGCTATAATCACGGCTGTTGAAAAAAAAAAAAAAAAAAAAAAAAACACGCGCAATAACCTCTGCTATTCCATGCACGAATTAGCTTTTGCGTGAAACCGTTTCTCTGTTTGGCAAGTATGCCTTTTTATTGGGTTAGTCTCTACAGAAGTTCTAAAAAAGTATTGTTACCCTGAAGTATTGATGTTTTTATTCTCTTGAAACACTGGATTCTCGAAAATGTTCTGGTTCTCATTTAATTTTTCAACAGAATTTATCTCAATTTAGTTTTCCTTCACTCGTCACTTATCTGTGTGCATGCCGTTTTTGGCGCGGTTTCAAAATATGCTCACGACTATTATCCGAAAGTATCCGGCTGGAGCCATTTTTCGCTAAATTTTATATTAACCACTCAAGGTTGAAGTGCGCGTAAATTTGTGAATGTCTCGAGATACATTTGAAATGCATATTGTTTCGAGGAGTCATGCCGAAATGAAAAATGTTTTTCATGTGTATTCCAGCTCAACAAAACCAGGGAAGAAAAGAACGAAATTGAAGTGGAAGTCGTGAAAATTCGAGAAACGGAATTGCAAATGAAGGGTGAAATCGCTGCTGTTCAAAGTTCATTGGATTCTGTCCGTAAAGAATCCACAGATTCATTGGAAGATCTCATGCGGTTGCGATTGGAAAATCAGCGTTTGACTAATGAAAATGGTGACCTTGAGGCGAAAATTTCATGCATTGTCGGTTTGGTTTCGGATTTTTGCCGTTCGAATCTTATGGGTCCCGAAGTTGGTGAGATCAATGAGAAGCTCGTGGAAATTTTCCGTGAATTCGCGAGATTATCGTCTGAGCTCGATAAGGAGAAACACTGCGTGGAAGCGCTGCAAAAATCAATCGAAGAATTCGAGGAGCTGAAGAGGATGGCTGTAGAAAAGGAGAACTCCTCTATGGAAGAAATCGACAGACTCGTAACGGAATTATCTAATATGAAGCATCAGTTGAGAAGCACGAAGGACGTATTGATGTCCACCCGTGATCAGCATCAGAAAGAACGAGAACAGTGGGTGAAAGCGAACTTTGATGTTCAAAAGAAGCTCGATGAAAGCTTGAGAGTTGCTCAGGTTTGTTTTTCTCTTCATCAGGAATGACTTCGCGTATAACTAATTGTATGTTTTAACTCTTTTTAGGTCGATGCAAATGATTTCACGGAAGCTGAAGAGAAAATGTCATCGCTACTCAATGCACTCAACAAGAAGAATGGCGAATTACAAGACCTGCGACTAGAACTCGAGGAAGTTCGGTCGAAGAAATTGAAAGCCGAAAATGAGGTGAGCTATGATTTTTGCGGTGGTACCAATGAAAAATGTATTAAAATGCTTGCATATTATGTAGAAACCGTCATTGTAGTCGGGGAAAACAAGTACAGTAATGTACTTTTGACCAACAACCTAGAGTATTTTTATTGATGAAATAACTTCTTCCGATTAGATATTAATATTTGAAAGTGGAAATGATTATGTTAGTAATTTTTCGGAGGACAGGTGTAGAAAAAATAAGACTGCAGTACTGTACTGATGAAAATCCGCTGACTGTAGATGCAGCCCTCTGAGAGTGTGGCTAATAACCTGTGAGTTAGTTGTACTGTAGTTAAAAAAGTAAATTATTTAAATATTCACTGCATGATTAGAGGATCCATGCTGAGAACGGAAATGGGAAAATTCGAAAATACCTTCAACATGCCCTCTTTATGTTAACATTTGTGGCTCCTTAGATCTTCTCTGATTGTATATCATTGTTATCTGCATGTAATTTATTTCATTGTTTTCAACGCCATGTAGAATTACTTAAGGGTTCCATTCGCTTATTCTGAAATTGATGAGTGGTACGAAAGGGTTGAGAAAATCTCGTAAAATATCATAGGAGGACTGAAGTGAATGTGTAAAATGTTGACGAAAATTTTCCAATGAGAATTATTTAAATTTCAAATTCTTTTTTTGATGAATTCTAGTTGTTGGACATGCAGATGCGTGTGGATTGTCTGGAGAACGAAATACGAGAGCTGGAAACGAGCCGTGAATCTCAGCAATTGCGAGATGAGGTCGGAGATGAGGAAGTCGACCGGATGCGAAGCGAGTTGGAGGAAGTCCGCGTGCAACTGACGGAATTTCAAGAAATGTTGGAAGCCGCCCAATGCGATAGAAACCGAAGAGAATACGAACGCGAGGAATTGGTTCGTGCGAATTACGAGCTTCGACAGCAGCTAGATGAAGAACGCCAAGAAAGTGACAATCTGCGATCGAATCTGGAAGCCGAAAATTCAAACTTAGCGGAACAGGTCAGTTCATAGGGCTCATGCGTTTCGTTCAATGATCTTGTGAAAGAATGGGACTTCGAAGAGAAGATGAAATTCTTCCAAAACTTGAGATCAATATGATTGAGGATGCTTCGAACTTCGAGTTAGAATTTTCTTATACCGTCGAAACTCGAAGTTTCCTGAATAGCAAAAAAAATTTGCGTGGTATCGAAACATATCTTTTGATTGCAGTCATAGAGGCCCCGTCACGAAAGGAATAAGAAAAAACTGAAATTACATCCGCAACATCAGCAGGCTTTTATCTTGAATTCCTTACTGAAGTACGGAACTGTACATAGTGTACAATACCATAATGTCATTGGTTTTTTGCTGTCGTGTCAATTTATACTAGGGTTTGGTCATCCTGCGAGTGTGAACAAGTTTTTATTTTTGATTACGAGTATATCTCATGTTCGTTTCGTGCCATATTCGTTGGTCATGGGAATCGTTCGACTTCAGTTATTGAAGATTTGCTGTATCGTCAGAAACATTTCCAGCATAACAGCTCAAATTTTCCATTGTTTCCACTAAAAATATATTTTAAATTTATAGGTGAAGTCTTTGGAAACATCACGTGCCGAGCTTCTTGAAGAAATCGATAAGTCAAACCTGAACATTTCAAGAATGTCTCCAGAAGTGGAAGATTTGCGCGAAAAATTGAATTCACTGGAAGCGGATCAACAGAATGCCAAGCAAGCATTTTTACAGTTCGCAGCGAAGTTCAAAGTGAGTGCATTTGAAGTGTTCAAATTTTCTTTTTGCTCGCTTTTAAAAGTTCATTTCACACAGATGTCAGTGGAAGTTATTCTTATTTACACTTCTGATACTTTTTCACACTTCATTTCCCATTGATTCATTAACTGGTTGACCAAGACTTGAAGGATTAGCAAAAAAGTGCAAAAATTGTTTTATATACCATAATATGAATATCCTTTCTCAGAAATGTCACTGCTCTGCAATTTCATCAAGAAACCTAGGTAGAGGTAAAACTTTTCAAGTTGTGTTTTAAAATTTGCTGTACATCAAATTAAAGTTTTGTTTATTCAGCAAAACTTTTTTGGTAAGTTTGAAAATTACCGTTTTGTGAGTATCTGCAGTTTTTTCTGTCTACAAATATAAAAAGTTGTTTGGTAGCTAAAATGAATGTTTCCTTTTTAGCTTCCATCAAGTTATAGAATCACTTCATTGCTTCATCAGTACCACTTGGTAGAGGGGCATGAGCAGATATGAAAGAAAGATGTGTTTTGAATTTTGATGAAACAGAGGGTTTGCGTAGTCATAGGGTGCCCTGTAGTTGTACAGCTTCTTGGCGAAGAGCCAAATCCCCAATTTCTCCACTTCCTTTTCAATTTGTTGATGAATGAAAGAAGCATTGAATATCAATCAAAAGTGAGCTATTATGACATCAACTTGTGTATACTGTATTTCGGTATTTGACTACCAATTATCAAAATAAATTCATTTGAAGGTTAATACGATTTATCTTAGATCGTGGTGAGTCCAGAAACCATGAATTCGGCTGGATTCGCTGTGGATTTCGTGGATATGTTCACAAGTCTGATGGAATCGGTCCGCACTGAGATCAAGAATGCGCAAAACGAAAACTATCAGCTGAAGGTAAGGATCTTTCGGAAGCTCTTTTATCACAGAATTTCTCGCACACTAATTTCTATCGATTGGCTTCCGTAAGCGGGTTGATTAGTCATTGTTGCACTAATTTAGTTGTATCAAATTATTCAAATAACAACGACTGCTTAATTTCCTCTCAGGGCGACAAAAAATCACTCGAAAAGAAAATGGAAGAATTGGAAGCTAGGAAAGATGCGGAGATGAAAAAGCGCGAATTTGACTTGAAGGAGTTCACGAAAAACCGGATGCGCGAAGTATCTGAATCATTAGCAATGGACGAGGAGAAGTTTGAGCGTCGAATTCGGGAAAAAGACGAAAAACTTTCAAAATTGGTTCGCGAGAAGAATGATATGGCTGCGAAGTGTGAAAGAGTTGCACAAAAGCTAGAAGAGCTTCGTCTGAGCCGTGATGCTGTGTCGCGAAATGTAAGTTGCGCAACATCAGATTCGTTCCGTTCAGACGGAAGTTCACATTGGGTGGTTTTTTTTTTTGGAGCATTGAACGGAAAATTCGCTATCTCATGTATAAAAATGTCTTTTTCGTAGGACTCGAATTGGCAAGAAGAAAAAACCGAGCTCCTGCAGAAATACGCTGACTTGCGAGCATTGCATGACAGAACGATGACCGCCAAGAGAGCTTTGGAGGTATGGCATGAAGACGATTTAATTTCTGTCGTCGATTTATTTCTTTCTTCTGTGATTCTTGCAACTTGTGCAGATGAAAGTGGAAAATTTGAACCGGGAAAAGTCCGTGTTGGAGGCGAGTGCGAAACTTGCAGAAATGCGGCTTGCCGAGCGCACTAAATCAAAGTCAGCGTCTTCGTTTGGGACCCATAAGGAAAACGAATACGAAACCATTTCGTATGGGGACGATGTCGAAAATCACGTCTACGCTAATATGTTCGTTGAAAGTCTCGGTTGAAATCGATTTGCGATAAAGCAAAGTTTTTGGTCTGATTTCAGCGGGCGACCAATGTCGAAATCCAATTCTGCCAGTACGGTGTTCAGTCGAACGTTGAGTTGTTCAAGTGGTGAGTTTATGCATTTTTCTATATTTTTTTTCTGGGAAGGGAGTGATTCCAACCTGTTCGCAAATATTTTACAATTTTACGTATGGCTTTTAGCGTTGAAATCATTTCATGAAGAATATTTTTCGTTACTTTCAGTGCGACCGTTGGCATGTGAAGATGAAGAAGGCGAGGTGTTGACTTCGACTGCCTTGTCGGAAGTCGCTCGTACGGCTGCTATTCAGAAGAGGATTGAAGAATTCACCAACAAGCTGGTGAAGCGAAACATTAATTCTACGGTTAAACCTCTTGTATATTAATATCGATTTTTTCTTCATTTTGCCGTTTGTTGCCTTGAAAATCCCTGAAGATTTTACATTGAAAGAAGGAAAGGTTGTCTGTGTTCCTTGAGCGCCTGCCGCTTGATGTACGACAAACCAAGAAAAAAACTTCTTTTCGGAAACGGTCGATGTCTCAATCCTTGATTTATTTTCCGCTTGCATAGGTGTCGCCCTAAACCACAAATTTTGTTAAGTTGAAATTTGGATTGGTAGCGATAATTTTTGTTTAGTTGGAGGTTCAGTTGAGATCTGCTTGTTATTTCCGAAAAGTGCAATGGGGTGCTGAGATAAAATAAATGAAATAAAACTATGAGTTGGAAGGGTATTCGGGAATTTCAAATTTCTCTGTCAATTAGGGAACCTCGGATGTTGGAAACAATTCCGTCCTGGCTGAAAGTGGGACTCTGAAGAAGCCTTGCACGAAATCGCATCGGAGAAGCCGCTCGTTGAGTCCACCGTCACGAAAACCTCTTCAGGCGTTATGCGGCAATTCGGGAAACCGTCCCTCGCCGGTAATCGAAGTTTCTTCGGAATCTGAAATGATTTGACCTAAAAAGTTCCCTGGCTTGCGCTTCAAGTTTTTCGAGAAGGTTTAATTTTAGCATAGCTTTTTGAAGATTATTTCTGTATTTCAATGTATTAGATAATTTCCTGAACTGTTCCAGGGTTTCACCTACCTTTTGGAAATGTATGTAACTCCAAGAATTGGAAGTACAGGGCATCCGTGTGTGTTGCCAAGGTTTACCTGCTAAATCATTAAGTTTGCAGGGTGTGGTTTTCCGTTGAAAAAACCAATTTCTTGACCAACTTAAAAATGCAAATGTTATACTGTCCCAAATCTTTAAAATTAATATTTTGAACTTGGAAAAAGTAAGTTGGCCGTAGAAGGAAAGGATTTAGGTGTTCTCTTTCCTTCGAACTTTTTTCATATAGTCATTAATTTTATTGTCCATGCCTTGTTCAAATGAATGTCTAATGCATCCGCCAGGAAAAGCAGTTAGCTGTGCAATTCGTATAGTTATCGTCAGAATTTTGAACTATGTATTATTTTTGAAGTTCGCATTTGGCTTTTAAATGTAAAACTTCGCTTGTTTATATTGAAACATTATTTTTTTTTATCATTTTTGCAGCTGAAACAAAATGAATCCATTGATCTTGATGGTAGCACTGCAAGCACCAGTTCCGTTACTAGTAACGGAAGTCGCAGAGGTCGCAAGAGTCTACTTCAGGTAAACCTAATATTGAAGTCATATTCGGCGTACTTTTTCTTTTCGATTGAGTATATACAAGCGTCCTAACTATCATTAATTATTTCAGACGAGCTACACGAAACCCGGCCTGCCGACCCCAGGGAAAAACTGTTCCGTCAATGCTCTCAGATCGCGGGTGCGGAAATCCCAGAAGAGGACAGAGCTCAACAACACCCCACAGAGCTTGGAAAGAGTCCTGCGTCGTCGGAGTGGGTTGAAAGCTGTACTCGACGGCGAAAGCGTCGCACTTGTCGACGCGAACACGCGCACTGCCAAAAATAAGAAGGCGCAGATTTTCCGAAATCCTTTCCGCGGAATGTGAAAGTTTTTGCGCGACCAGAAGGCCTGCACGTGTTGTCTTACGGTTGCAGACTATCTTTTCCATTGTTACTCAAGCTCGGAATTGGTTTGCGAATTTAAATGTTTTTCATAATATTTTGAACTAAAACGTGAAATGAATGTAAGCTTGTACTATATTCGGAATAATGTGGCAAGTTGACGGCCTGCGTGAAGCCATTTTAGTTTCTGGTCTTGATCGGTGTGACATTTTTGTATGAATTTTGTATCTTTGTCATGGTTTTTACGTTTCCACGACAGCGAGAAAGACTTACTTTTAAAAACGAAGTATTGTTCGCGGGCCTTATGGTTTGCTCGTCAGGCATTGGTGTGTTGCCGTCTCAATATGCTCGTGGACCAGTATAGGGTCATGTGTTCTGTAACAGGGCCTTGAGATTGCGGAGAGCAGCAGCATTTTGTGAAGTGTGTGTTTTCAGGGATCCGCTTTTGCGACGAGTCTATTTGACGTGTGCCAACCAAAATTAGCTACACCGAATTTTTTTTTCGGAACCGAAGAGAGATTGGCTGTTGAGCGTTTTATTTCGCCTCGTTCCCTGTTCTGTTTTATGAAGTCATGAGAAATCTTGAAAAAAATGCTGATTTGGATATCAGAAGAGTTGTTCTTTGAACAGAGGATCCGTTGAATTGTGCATAATAAAATGTTTTTCACTCCCAATCAATTTTCCTCACGAATGGCTGGCCACTCAATCCTCCGAACGTCCTTATTTTAGACTCGATCGAGAGATGGAGTCATACTCGATTAACACAGAAAGTCGCACAAAATTCAATGGAGAGAATCCTCGATTCAATAATTTGGAAATTCTTCGATGCCCAATGCACGATATGTAATGGATTTCATTTTCTTTTTTGGTTCTGAGCTCAGCCCGGCGATGGAAACGCCGAGGTCACTGTTGAAAGTGTCGTCGTCGCGAGAAACTGAGACCCACGATGTGTCACCTGACGTGATCGTGTGGGACTCGAAAGCCACTCCTTTACGATCAGCCCCTCGTCGGGTCATTGATCGAGAACGTACAGATTCACCCTGGCAATCCAATGCGAGTTCTGCTGCCGAATCGCCTGTATCTACGAGGTCGCCGCACATGACTTTGACCTCGCTTCGGTCTCGGTCATTCACACCACGCGCGGTGAGTTCACGAATGTTCACAGCAGAACCACGAAAGCGTTTAACCATATGTATGTACAGTACTATATACTGTATAATCAACGCACAACTTCAAATTGAAAGCAAGAGCTGTCGGTTCATTCTTCGTCAACTGCGAATCCGAATTTTGTTTACCTAGTTATGGCTAGAGAAGGCCAGATGACTTTTATGCGAGGTAAAGTTAAGTTGGCAGTAGTTCACGTTCGTTAGGTCAATTGCCACTTGATGTTAGTTAGCTGTTGAGGTTTTTCGGCTGGGTGGTGGGCTCGTCAATTGTTTTGAGTTCTAGGGTTGCTACCGTAGTTTTAGATCATTAAGGTGTTCAGCTAAATCAGCTTGGTGTCGATTAAGCTTCGTTACGTTCGATGTGAAGTGAGATTACCTTGGTGAAGAGTTTCATCAGTTTGGATGCAATTAATGCAGAGGCTGCGCGACGAAATTACGGTTCTGTATTTAAAAGAGGGACGATGGTACCCTAAACCGGATCCAGTTGGAAATCGTTGCGAAATTTCTCGCATTTGAGCTGGTTTCTCTTCCTGGTTTTTATTCAGCGACCGGCGGGCGAAATGCTGGACATGAAATCTCTACTTGAGTCACCCGTTGTGGGCAGCGATGCTAGGAAATGCTCTGTCGATATGATGCCTGACGACGACGACGACTTGCTTAATTGTTTGGATGACTTCGAAATGTCACAAATGGCTGACCGAACATCGGTTCGCTCTGAAGTGGATGATTTCGAGTCAACGCCAAATGTGAGTCAATCGTGAATTCAGGTAAACAAAGTTTTTACGCGCCTGTAGTTTGGCAGCCGGGAGAAACCGAATCCTCGATGAGGAAATTTTCCGAAAAATTGAAAATTCGCCTCCGTTTTCAGGAAGAGGATGAAGACCTCTTGAAGTGTGTGAAATTTCTCGATGCAAAAGAAATGTCGGAGGGGGTGTTCAGAAAACCCGCTGTCGTCGATAAAGCACCGAAACAGTCCAGAAGTGCCACAGTTGATTTCGACGACGATGAACTAGACGATGAAACAACACAAGGAATGCTCGAAGCCTGCTTGCAAGCTGAAGCCAGTTACCGGAAAAATTGAGTGATCTGCAATGAATTCGTTCCGTATACCTATTGTATTTTGAAAATTAAAAAAACTGTTTATACTTTTAAACTAGAACTTATCTTTTCATCATGAAACTCCTTCTGATTTTAAAGCAGACTTTTGACCGCTGACATCGAATGAGCAGAAATCGAGGTATGATGGGTATGTGTGCTAGGTTCGGATCCACGTTCGGTACACAATTGCGGATTCCATCGTCTTTTACGAGGTTGTAACGAAACGACGTTCACGTGCAATTTTTCTGACTTATGAAGGTTTTTCTTTACTCAGAGGGTACGTGTCTTAACGCGTAATGATGTGCGATAATTTTTTGCGTTGGCTTTTATTCCGTGCGTTAATCAGGCCGCTTTTACTCCGAAGTTGCGTCTACTTCGCCGGGGATTGATCAAGAGTTTCGGGTGAGTGAACAGAAACATCAGCTATCTTTTTTTTTGCAGTTTCAGTCGACAGGAGGAACGAATGCGAAATTCAAGCGCGTCATACAACAAAGGAGGTTTGATCAACGGAGAGAACTTCTCTCGATACTTAAAGCTGGGCTTCGAATAAAAAATAAAAGAAAAAGACGAGACTAAGATCCTTAAAATGGATTCTTTATTCGTTTTTCTTGTGCGTAGGTAGTTAATTGGTCGGGTACATGTCAAAAACTCCGCATGGCAAGGCTTTTATTTGGACGTCGCCGGTTTTGAAAAGTATGCTTGAGAATTTAGAGGATTTTATATGAAAAGTTCTGAAATCTGCTGGACTGACATTATCAGTTGACATGATCGCTCAGTTTACCGTGTGGAAGGCTACGTAAGGGTGTAGTGCACAACTTTCTTTGAATTAAGATTTGAAAATCACAAGAATCAAGATTAAGCTTTTTGATAGTTGATCTTAATTTAATTTTCTCTTCATTGTGACCCATTTCACCGTGAGATTCAAGGTTAATAAAGACTTGATTGGATGCTATTACAAGATTATAGATCCAATTTTATGCATTACAAGTTCATTTTCCGCGTTCTTCAGTGTAGAAATCGACATGGAACAATGTCTCGAAGCTGCGTCTTACGATACTTGTCCAGATGTGCTTCCTGATGCCCTCGAATCAACGGACGACAATGTCATGCTTTTCGAGGGAACTTCAGGACTAAAGGAAGAACCCATTCTTGAAACACGAGAGGATTCTGGATACCTGGGGTGTGAACGCGATTCTCCCGGCGTTTTAGGCTTCAGTTCTCCGTAAGATACCTCGAAATATCCATTCAACGATAATTACGGTTATGGGAAACAATTTTGTGAGAAGATACTTTGGCTGATTCTGGTCGAGCGAACTTGAAAGCGCGGGGTTTAAATGGTTTTTCACTTACCGCTGAATAACTTCAGGTGATTATTGGGTTAAACCTTCCTGTTTTAAGATGAGCATTCGGCAAATGAAAAAGCCTTGTTTTAGCTTGCTAAGGTTTGTTCGATTAATTATCTTTTCGGAGCAATTCGTTCAGTTTTCTTGGCGGGTTATGTTGCATCTTCGAATCTTGACCTTCATGGTTTTTCTCTGTGAGTTCACTTATTGTATTTTGTAGCTTTTGAAGAAATGCTTGGATCGTTTTTACCTGAATGCTAAATGCGAGAACATTAATAGTACAGTATTACGCGTTTTTTTTTCTTCTACCCATTTTTCTTACCGTTGAACCTCAATAACTCAATAGCCTTTTGGCTATTATTTCCTTTAAACATGAAAGAGAAAAGCAATTAAAAAGTAAATGTGTTTTGAAAGGAAGTGCAGGACAATTTGAGCAAACGAACTATTGCATCAAAGTTCAGTATTCTTTCAACTTATTTAAGCAGCAATTTAATGCTCAGAATATCACCATTTACAATTTCCTGCAATTCTTCCATCATTCCCCTGAAAATGTTCGTTTTCTCATGTCAAATCCTCTCTAAATCGAATCATTTGCTGGTCCCTTGAATTTTGACTCGGAAGAGGTTCAACTGCGAGCTAATAAATTCAATCCGCACCACTTGGGAAAATTTGCCATGAACTAATCATGGGTCCAAAAGTACATTAAATTTTTAATTATAATTGCATCGAGCCCCATGCACATTGTTGCAATGACATTGCGAATCAAAGATCGTTTCATTTTCTTCAAGAATACTTGACATCCCTTGCTTTCTGAAGACATCATATTATTGTTTGTAACTTTCAAAATACTGTATATTGTAGAAAAGAAGTTGCTAGATGTGTTTTATAATAGCTTTTCGATAGGTACCATCTCTGTACAGTCGCGTGTCAAATGAAGAAGAAAAAACTTCGTAGAGCATATTCTATGAAAATGTGTTCAATAGTGTTGATCTGAGGAGTTCCTTTTGGTATTTTTTTTTTCTGGATCCCCTGTCAACTTTTAAAATCTGTGATGATGGAACCTGTAGGCCTTAATTTCTCTTCGAAATACCGTATTGTATAAATTTTCTGCGCATTCCGTAGATGATCACCTTCTTTCTTCTCATTCCGTAGACCTAATTTCTGTATCTGCAGTTGAATACCAATTTCCCTGTACCTTGTTTCTTGAGCATCTGCGAATTCCTTGAGGGAAAAGTTGATGACGAGTCCTCATCAGGTCTCAGCGAAACACGGATTGAGAACCTCTGTTTTAGTAAATGCGGCTGTGTACTGAGGAAAACTGAATTCTCTTTCTCTGTATCTACGCTGATCGTTTGATATCTCTTTAGCCGTTCAAAAAAAATATTTTTTTTCGCTTTTGTAGTTCATCTCAATTTTAGCGTGTATCAAAATACAGTACTTGTATCGGTCGAATCCCAGGGGGTCCACAGTTGAACTTCCTTCAGCGGATGATTCCCCACCCAGAGCAGACTACCCAGCCAAGCAAATACAACCGAGTGATCTGATCAACGATGCTGTTGCTTATTCGTGCGGATCTCTCTACTCTTGCTATGAAAGAGCTGCTGCGAATCCGGGTTCTTTGGCTTACCAGGCGCAGGTGAAACAACACGAGTACCTGAGGGCGCTGGAGGAAAAAATGACGTCGATTTGTTCTTCTGACGAGGCTTCAAGTAAAACGAGCGAGGAAATCCAGAGCTTTACAGATGAGAAGGCAGAACGGGATGAGGTGAATGATGTGCTTATTCACTTCTTCAAGAGGCACGTCTAAAAAAATCAAAAACGGCTTGCCTTTTTCTGAAACTTCAGAAAAGAATTTGTCAATGAAATGGATCTTGTAGGGAATGAAAAATGACTTCTCTTCACGTTAGGATAGTTTTTCCCACAAGCAAGTTATTTAAAATTTATGGTTGTAACTTCAAGTTCTTGAGTTAAATTTTCAAAAGGCTTTTGCTTGTCTAAATTGTAAAATGCAGCAGATGCAGAAAGTAGATGGAGGCTTCTCCATTTTCTCTCCTGAACACGGACAAGAGGAGCACCTGGGAACTCCCATAAAAATGGAAATCGACTTCGTGTCTTCCGGTGAGACGATCTTTTTTTCATGCATATTTTTAATTGATACGGAACGCGAAGCCACCGTGTCATGTCTTTATGATAGATCGCGAAGAGATTTCAAGTAGCCGTGTTGAATGTCCGCTTGAAGTTACTCGAAGCAGTTTGAGCGAGCATCCTGACGCGATTTCCGAAATCATCGCGGAAGATGGCGGCAGTATCACTGATACTCCGTCTGCTTCATCGGATCCCATATGTAAAGAAATGGCTTTCGAAACTGATTTCATCGATGATGTGAAATTTGAAGTTGATCCTGTTACGGTCGAACCATCTCACTGCAATACACCAGAAGACAATATAGGAGTTGTGCCGGAGTCCAATGAATACTTGATAGCGACTCTGAGCGCAGCCAGTTCGAGCGCTGATTCGGCGTCCTCTTGCACGTCGAGTGATTCTGGAGACGACCCTAATATCAAGTCTGCCCCGAAGCTTGTGAAAACTCCGAAGAACAAACTCTTCTTGCAGCAGTTGTTCGGGTCTTCGGATTCGGAGGATGATCTCAAGGTATATTCATTTTTTCGATTTCAATTCAAGTCTGCTTCCGCGTTGAATTTTCGCGCTTTTCGAATTTTGCCCTTCTGACAGCTAGGTGGCAATTTAGAACATGACCTAATCGAACTCCTAGCTTGCTAAACCTTACACTCAACTATCCAATTCTACACTATAGTGCAGTGATCCATCATTTAATGAAGAACCCGTATAACATATCCGTAATTCCCCAAAAATGTGGAACAACGAACCATCGTTTTTCTATAGAAGTGACCGATGCGTACGGTAACCATGAACTGCATGAGCAGCAGGAATTCAACAAGCAGAGACGTTCGAATACTATTCACGTTTTATTGGTAAATAAACGAATGCGACGTAATATAAATTTGTTTTACTATACTGTACTGTAGTTTAATTATCATGATTATTTTATTTCATAATTCATGAAATGCAATCCTAAGATTATCACACCTATCGAGAGTTGAAGTCATTTGTTCGGTACATGCGGAGTAGAGGAAATAACTGTTTTTTTTATATGGCAACAGGTGCATTGCGATGACGAGCTGTTTGAAGATGTGGAACATGAGGAAAACGCCGCGGAATCTCAGCAGGACGTTTCGCCGATGGACGCCGATGACAACGAAACCAGCAGCATGTCGGAACGGAAAAAGCGGGCCCTTGAAATATTTCGAAATAGTTTAAATCGCACATCAGCAGCCCCTGAACCGAAGTCAGCAAAGGAATCCTTTTCAACATGCAAGAAAAGAATTACAGGACCGCAGAAAAGCGGCGTTGAGACTGATGATGAATCGAACAAGGCTCTCGAAGACGGGGAAATCAGCGACGACAATGACGACGTTCTCGTGCCTCTTCCGCGAAAATTGGCGTCATCAACCTCGACAGTGAATCCCGTCAGGAAGCAACGTTCGTCTGGGAAAGGACTGTGTGGAGCTGCTCCTCCAGGTTCATCCCTCTTTTTCTTATTTTTCAAATTAGAAAAAGCAGAAACTAGGCCTTGGATAATGTTTTTGAAGAGGAAATAAAAAAATCGGAAATGAACCGTTGCTTTTGGAAACATGCAAAATGCAATGAGGTTTTCATTTGTTGCAAACAAAATGGATCATTTATAAAATTTGAAAATTACGCAATTTTTAGGAAATGTTGTGCTAAAAAGAACGTACAATTTTCAATTTATTTTTGTCTGAAAAAGTTTCAAAAGCCTGTGACATGGGTAGAAAACTCTCACTGTAACTGGAAAGTTTTAATCATGCAGTGAATCTAAAAATTTTAATCGAAATCTGAAAAAACTCGGAACCTTGAACAGCATGGGCTACATGATATATTTTTTGTTCGCAGTGGTACCTGTACTCCAGAAATAACTAAGGTCAATTAGAAGTGGGACAAATCTTTTATATAAATGTATGTGCAATGTATACAGTTTACATATATGTATTTTCACATTTAGTACGTGTGTATAATGACGAAATTTTATGTATGATTTACAGCCACTTCTTTGTTACACTGCCGTTGAACAAGATGAGGGCGAAAGTAATGAACTAAATCAGTGTGGTAGATAAACAATTTGACAGCTCTTGCACTTTTCCTTCACACCGAGTATTAACATAATGCAACAATGTTACAGCATCATATATTTTGCCGATTTACCGCACACCTGCAGTAAAAGTTTTTCTGGTGAATGATGGATATTTTTCATCTTCCCTTAGGTTACTTGCCGCACATGCCAACGATCGCCCAAGCACCCGTGATTCCTCAGGTTCCGATTTTGCCGAATTTTTTGAACCCTGCGAATCCATTGACGGCGGGTGTTCCGAATCCGTACATGTTCCCTATGGGCGCTTTTGGTGCTGGGAAACGATTGGCGGCGTTGTCCGGTGATTTAGTTAATGGAGGGGTACCTCAGGCCACTGCGGTGGACCCCGGGGGTAGGAACGGGCAAGTTTGTCCGTATTTTGAAATGAAGGGCGATTGCCCAATGGGACGTGAATGCAAGTGAGTGCGGTGTACATATTTTGACTTTCCGAGCCGAAAATATTTTTCAACATAATCTTCATCCGAAGCACACTATTTTCATTTTTTTTGCAAATGCTGTGAGAAAATTCTTACTGTAGTACGATAGATTGTGTTACCCAATACTATACTGGAGAAACTCCCCTTGGGCGTTTACACATTTGAGTTCCCAATGTTATCTCCCGATGATGACGCAGTTTTCTTCTCTGGCAATGGTCAAGTCTGGTTTCCCCCCGTCATTCTCTTCAAGTCTCGTTACTGAGGGATTTTAGTGTGATTCATTATGAATGTATTTGAACATGAAGGCTATTTTAAGTTAGGTTTTTGCGCGTGATTATTAGCTAAGCTTTCGTGACGTTGGAAAAAATATGCTTCATCAATAGATTATCTTCGAGTTGAGTTTCAAGTATTTTAATATGCGCTGAACCTCATTTTTCTTTTCTATCTCTAGGTTTATTCACCAAATGGGTCCGACTAGATCAACTGATGCATCCATGCAATTTCTGTCGATGATGGTAAGTGATGCTGAATGCCCAATTTATTTTTGTTGTTGCTTTTTTCAAGTAATGCATGTTATGAATGCATTGGTCTCCTATATCACGACTGAAATATAATTGTTACCAAGTATGATGTTGGCGACATTTGTGTAATTGCGAAGAAAATCATGAGCTTAGGAACGTTGGGCGTGAAAGCTAAAAAAGAACCGGTTTATTTTGAATCGACTCGGACTTGTTTGCACTGACTCGTGATCCGTCAGTGTTTGACATAATTTATCCTGTTCATAGCAAGCCATGGCAATGCCTTATCCGATGATGCAACAGTTGATGGTTCCAAGGATACCAGCGATGATGCCGATGCCCAAGTTGCCCCGTATCCCGCGAGAACTGCTTCATCCCATGAATGAAAGACCCCGGCCGAACTCACGAGGAAATAACAGCCGAGATGATTGGACCGAAGAGAATAACCGATCACCTGAACCAGACGTAGGTAGTCTCGCTCATTTGGGGGAGACATCATTTTGAGAAAATTTTCAGGATGGTCTATTTGAGTGAATAATGTATGAAGAAGGCAATTGTCCAACATCATCATTTGCCAGTGGCAGTTTCAAGTAAATAGAAGATAAATAAAATCCAATCTCAGTTCTCTGACTTTACTGGAGCTGCACGAACTGGCCATGATGTAGAAAGAACATTGAAGGATTGTTGGGTTCTTGCTTCAGTGAACTTTTCAAGAAAATCCCGAAGTCTTCGAGTTCTAAAAATCGTGAATATTTGTGTACTTCACTGTAATACGAGCATTGTCTGGAAATCGAGTGAATTGCTAATACCAGAAAGATTGAATTTTTTCGATCCACCTGCGACCCAATTGACTTGAAAACGCCCTGCGCATCCCTAAAGAAATATCTGTCAGAAAATCCCCGAAAGTCACGACACGATTCCAGACGCCTCGTTCACTGTAATTTACAGTATAGTCGTGCAGAAGATTAGCCCTAGTCAAGATATGGAAATTTGAACTGATGAAAGGACGATTAAAGCGAAAAGTGACGCTTCTTCAAATTATTGCTGATCTAGGAAACCTTTTGGCGCGAAGCGAATCAGGATTCTCGAACGTGTACTCAGAAAGATTCCCAGTCACGGAGTCCAGAGAAGGACCGTCCAAGAAGCACATCAAGGAACCATAGTCCGGAACGAAGACAAGATAAACGGCATCGATCAGGCTCAGAATCTCCTTCCAAACGGTAATAATGGAATGATACCAACCGCCTTTTTCTTTCCCCTGAGTGAAATATTCTAATCTAGCGTACTCGGATGTTTTTGTTAGACACAGGCACCACAGGGAATCGGAGCCCAGAAGAAAACCCGAATCCCGCTACGCGAGCAAACGTAGGGATCCTCCTGCGAGCAAATCACCAGCTTCCTCTTCCAACTCTTCGTCTGATGACAGCTCTTCCGATGACAGCAGTCCCGGAAAATTATCTCCCAATCGAGTGTCGCACAGCAATCGATCCGGTAGAAATTCCGGCGACACGAAACGTCGTGACGGTACACCTCACAGTTACCGTCGACATGCCACGGAAAATCGTGCGGAAGAAAGAGGAAGGTACAGGAGATCTTCACGGGAAAGACACCGGCATCGACATCATAGATGGTGATTCACATGCTCGACGTCTACAACACTGGAGATGTATCCTTCAGAAAACCGTTTTGATGTTGCGAGTTCATCGCGTGAACAAGATGCGACTTTGAAAAATCCTGATATTTTTTTTTTATTGTGGCGATGTCTTCAACTGCGGGGACGACAGTATTTTGTGGTATAATCGGACTCGTTTTTGCGTTTAGAAGGAATTGGACATGGCTTGATGCTCCAGATTATTTGGCTCCTTTTGCCGGGAATGTGGGTGGAATATATGCACAAATTTCATTATTTTCAAAAGATTTTCTGTAAGTTGAATTCTTCGCGACAATGGCGAGTTGGTGGATTAGGACAGATTCCTGTACTTAGCGTACTCCATGTTGGTACTGTGTCCTTGCAGAATACACAGGTAGTACGAAATTTTACTTTTAAATTGATACTCATGTCACTGAAGCAGTGCACAATCTGAAAACGTTGGCGCACAGCAATCTTAAAGAATAAAGTACAAGGATGGAGTTTTTCTGAATTTTTAATTTAAGTTTCAGAATACGAGAGCACAACACGCAAGAAAAGCAACACAATTCCCACATGACACGCGACTCTTCTATTCACCTCCTTAGAATGATTCTTCACTGTGCAATGTCTTTTCGTCTTTCAGGGCGCCAAACTTCTTCACGACCTCCTCCACATTAAATTCCCCGTGAACTTTGTTGTCTCGAGTGCGTACGTTCACTGTTCCATTCGACTGCTCCTTCTCTCCGACAACTGAGGATTTTAAGAGGAAGACTCATTTCCGTTGACAAGCAAATAAAAAATATAACTTACCTAGAATGAAATTGAACTGCGCCAACTGGGCGTTTCTGACCTTCTTGTTGAAAGTATCTCCAGAAGTGATATCAACATCTGCTTGGAAACCAGCGTCATGCAACTGCTTCCTCACCTGATGGTTTAAAAATTGTACAATATGCTATCACAAATTCACAGTGGCCAGGTATAACTTGTGCAGCTGAGTAAGTGTAAGCACAACACCTGACTGTATTCATCCAAAAAATCATTCAATTGCTTGTATTGAAGGATTATCAGTGCTACGTTATAACGTTGGATCATTTGGGAAATCAGCATAAGCAGACAGGGAATACTGTACTTTTCATGCCATCATTTCACTCACATTCTTGATTCAATAAATTGAAATTACTTAATCCCTCAATGATGTACAAGGAACATCAGTCTCACAAGTATCACATAAAGTAAGTGAAATACTGTATTTACAGAAAATATATCATATAAGCATCCTCTTTCCAGGAAACTAAAAATTTCAGACTAAATTTCAGCTTTCTCCAGAAAAGGATCAACAGTGTCACACAACACTTGCTCTTCCTATCTGGTCAATAACTCGTGAATCTCGAAGTACTAAATGCCAACAGTTTCTTAATGATTTTACTGGTACGACTTGAATAACAGATAATGAATAGTAATGGTGAGAAATAATTTCTGAAGACGAAGAACAGTTATTCCATTTATTACGATTGTTCCTGACATATGAAAATTGTAAAAAATTGTTCTCGAATTTAAGTAAATCACTGAAATATGCGAATACTGTATAAGCACCCTCCCAGTTTTTGAGATTCTATAATAAAAAAGGGTGCTTATAATCGCGACACTACAGTAAATCCAGCAAGCCAATAAATTTCAGGAAAAGCATAAAAATCTCACCTTTTCCGCATATTCGTCATAAGCAGCGGCAATAGGGATCACCACCACTTGTCTCGGCGACAGCCAAAATGGCCATTTCCCACCGAAATTTTCGCACAGTACAGCCATCATACGCTCCACCGAGCCCAATATGGCGCGGTGAACGATGACGGGGCGATGGCGCTCACCGTCTTCTCCCATGAAAAGCAGATTGAATCTAACAGGGAGCTGGAAGTCCAGTTGGATTGTGGCGCACTGATGTGGTCGTTGCAACGCGTCCATGATGGTGATGTCAATTTTCGGGCCATAAAATGCTCCATCCTCAGGATTCAGTTTCCACGGCATCCCGAAATCGTTCAAACTTTCTTCCAATTGCTGCAAAATGTCGACCATTAGACATGCTTTCAATTTACTGCGCACATCAAAATTTCAGTATTCACACGAATGCAGTGCATGAAACCCATTATCTCTAATTTCAACTAAGAACACAGGGTAAGCCTTGCAATTGCAAAAAAAAATAACTTTTTTTCTTTTTAGGAGTCCATTCATACCCACGTTGAAAAATTGCAAATACAGTATAGGAAAACGCAGAAAATGTTTTTCCATATTACTTTACATCCACCTTAGGATCACAACACCCAGACTTGATCCAGATCAACTCACTTTTTCTGCAAGGTTCCATTGCTCTATTTCTCCCAAAAATGTTTTGGGCCTAGTGGACAAGTTCAGCTTGAAGGTGAATCCGAAAATTGTGTAAATACACTTGAGGAAGTCGAGACAGCTGCTGATTTCAGACTTGATTTGGTCGGGAGCGCAGAAAATGTGGGCATCATCTTGCTGAAATCTGCGCACACGTATCAGTCCTGTCAATGCGCCAGACAATTCATTCCGATGCAGCACTCCAAAATCCGCGTATCTGATCGGCAGTTCTCTCCATGATCGAATACGGTGATCGAACATCAGACTGGAAAAAATGTGAATTTCATTTCGACAAAGCAAAACGAACTTTGATTTTAACCTCAAGAGCACCAAGAGATTTGATGAGTCCAAATAAATTCTTCCTCAAATGATGTGAAGAAATTCCGAAATAACGGCAAGATTAATGAATGTACTTCGGAAACTCTACGCCTTTCTCGATGTTCTCCATCTGTGTCTTCAATTATCTTCAAACTGAAATCATCGGCAATAATAATTCTGCGACGCAATCTGTTGCACTATAAATACAAGTCAAGTCAACGTAATACGCGTATGTAACTTGACAGGATGGATGTACGAGGAAGAACGTTGTACCTCCATCCCATGGTGGAGATCTAGGATTTTGAAAAGAAATCTCTCTAATTTTCACATTCACCCAATACTGTAGAGTGTGACGCATTCACTGAGTAAAACACTTGATTTCTGAAGTAATTTTTTCCTAGGACATACCGTGTTTCATTTAATTGCTTAAAAAAGAACATGTTTATGATCCTCACGTAATTCAGATAGCCTAATACGGAATATCCCATTAAAAATGTACATTGAAGAACTTCTCAAAATTTCACTACAGTAATAAAAGCCTATTTGGAGTGAACATTGAATAAAAATATGTTTTGAGGACATACAAAGCTCGTCGGTTAAAGCGTATAAAAATCGGGTTTAAGCCTGGTAGACAGAACACTGATTGGTTGCCCACGAAACGAAGAAAATTCACGGACAGATGAAGGCAATCCAGATTAGAGCTTCTTCTCGATATATAATAAAAACAGAACAAATAGCTTACCAATGTCCCGGACAATTCATGGGCTTCAAGGCGTATTTCTCCTTTTCACAGTCGAACGAGAACATATTTTCCTGGATTTTTCGTGTCAAATATTAAATGAAAATAAGCAAAATAACTTTGTTTAAAAAGTTAGGTTTCAAATTCCTTACCGCATAATGTTGCCAGTGTCCAGATTGAATCCACAACTTGGAGTTGTAAATGTTCGGAGAGATTACTTCATCAAAACCTCGCTTACGGTATTCCGTCTTGATGGTATTCATCAGCACGTTGTAAATGTGTGCACCTTTCGGCAGGAAGAAACATGAACCCGGGCTCAGTTCATGAAAGAAGAACAATTCTTGCTCCTGAGAAGTACAAACCGATGAAAAATATAAATTTTTTTTAACAAAAAAATATCTACCATTCAGATGAAAAGTGGGAGGAAAATGCTCAGAATTCTTGAAAAATCTGCTTCACAGTAGGCTAGAATGAGCCTTACTGAACATCATCATAAAAGAATTTAAAATGGTTCGAGTCATAAAAATTTGAATTAACAAATCAGAGATCGGGGCAAACTAGTAATGTAAAAATTAGAGGTAGGAAGAAGGATCAGGTCACGGTTTGAGGACTAATTGACCTTCCCAGAATGAAAATACTGTACTAGACAATGTATACGTCTTTTTAATTCTGAAATGATCCTTCTTCGTACTTCAAGAAAAATCAGATTCACTGGGAATGAACACCACTGCATTTACAGAGAAACAAAAATTATCCTAGACGTCGACTTTTTGGGAAACTCAGTACGTAACACATTCGAAGGTTCAATTCTCATTTTTTGTGCTGCTGGACAGAACTTTTGAATTATTTATTTGGTACGTTTCATCTAGCTTTTCTTCACAATGACTTCGTGAAAAAAAAAATAGTTACCCTTCCGATTTTCCTGTGATCTCGTTTCGCAGCTTCTTCCTGAAACTTTTGCCATTCTTTCAACTGCTTAGGGTCTGGGAAAGATATTCCATAGACCCGCTGCAACGACTCAGCCTCCGAGTTTCCTTCCCAATAGGAAGCAGAACTCTGGCGGATGAAAACACGGTGAGGAATTCAAAACTACATCATGATTTCGACTCAATAGAAGTATAGAACTCACTCTAGTAACTTTGAATGCTTTGACTTTTCCGGTATGTCGCACATGAGGTCCACGGCAGAGATCAATCAATGGCCCACACCTATACACGGTTGTAGTTGGAGTAGTGACCTTGTTTTTCAAAATACGCAACTTGAACTCGTTGTACTGGAACATCTCCGCCAACTGCTCTTTGGTAAGTTCGAGGCGCTCGAACGGTTGCTTCTCCTTCACGACCTTTTTCACCAATTCCTCTAAGGTCCCAAAATCACCACTCGACACCTTCCGAAAACAGAATCCACTGATTTAATTTCTGAAATCTTCATCAACGTCGCACTTCACGAACCTGGCTGTCCATTGACATGTCATAATAAAATCCACTCTCAATCGGAGGCCCATAACAAAGGCATCCTCCATACACTCGTTCCATTGCTTCTCCCAAGATGTGAGCTGACGAATGCCAGAAAACTTGCTGACCTTCTTCGGAGTCGAATTTCAGGAGTTCAAGCTTGCACGAGCTTTCCAATGGACGATCCAAATCCCACAGCTCTCCATTGACTTTTGAGATAACTGCACTGTCTGCCAACCCCTGACTGAGGGAATAATTCGATACAGAAAGATACATTTCAACAAGTGCTGGAAAATCCCTACCTGATTCCTGCGGCGATATCGTAAGGTGATGTCATCCATGCCTGACCCTTCACGATTTTACCGTCCGGCAAAGTGATGTCAATATCTTCTTTCGGTAGAGAAGCAATTCTGTCCTCATGTTGGACTTTGAACTTGTCCCAAAGCTGAATTCGATCCTAAACGCAAAATGGGGAGAAAAAATTTATCAAAACGCATATACTAATTAAAAAAAAAAAAACTCGTTCGACCTGGATGAAGGAAGGCCATGGGCTGAGTTCCTTGACAGGAGCCTTGTCCCCTTCTCCCTGAAATTATTCTGCGGTGATTAACATCGGTACTCCCTCACTTTCAAGCGATGCTCTCTCACCTCGTGCACTTTCCCCTTAGTCATTGTTTTCAAGCGATATCGGGAAATAGATCGTGTGGATTTTGGAAAACTTTGTCTCTCCAAAAGAGAATAGGAGCTGATATTTTGAAACCAACGGTACAAATGGAATAATCTAGATGGAGGAGGATGGCGCATTATTGTCTGAAAGATGTCCACATCAAGAGAGGAAGGTTCAGGACCATCAAAGAAGCTTTCATCAGCGAGAAAGCGATCCCAACTTTCGTACTCATCACAACTCATCGCGCGTCACTTCATCGTATAGATTCCCACCACACGTCACGAAAGCAAAGACAGAAAGAAGAACATAGAAAAGCAAGACATTCCCATCACCGAAGCAACCCAGAAAAAGTACAGTGCAAACGAACCATCATCGCCAAACAAACAACACGAACGGAAACCTTTAAGCTCGTCAACTAGCCCTTTCACTCGCGCGAAAGTTCCGGATGAAAAATCATAATTTGATCCTTAAAAGAACTTCACGATCTATGGATGGATGGGGTCGACTCTTTGAAAAATAATTCTGAATTATGTCAAAGCTGTCAGCTTCATCAATGGAACGGGGCACATGCCAAAATCTGTGGCAAATATGGTTCGGTTCACGTCATGGACCACATCAAACTACCAACACATTACGAATTTCGACAACGGTCAACATCCGCAGATGGACAATCCGTGGTGGGTTCTCCTGTCATTAACACGAAGGCTGCCGTACTATCCACATGGGCTGACGCAATCCATGCTTGACTAGAGTCATACAACTGCCAGGCCCAGGAAGTTACGTACTTCACGTTAAAGGGAATCTGATGGAGGAGTGACCTGTCATACTAGGCACCCCCAAGCCCCAAGTAGAATCTGATTACTTAGCCGTAAGCAGTTGTGATATTCAAATTATCAAAGTGTCCAATAACTTGATACGCATACAATATATTATTTTTACGCTATACATCCAGGACTCAAGATCCATCGTGGACAGCAACAGGAGCATGATGATCGTCCTCCACCATCAGTCCATCACTAATATTGCAGAGGAGGAAACTACAGTACATTGGTGCAGTAATGAATCAAATCATTTAGATACAGATGTATCTAAATACAGTACTGCTGTACCTCTATAGTCTATATAGACTCTATACAGTACAGTATTGTATATGAACCACTGAGTTTGTAGCGTCACCTACAGATACAAATAAAAACCGATTATGTGTTAGCTCTTTTGTCGTACATGCGTGTCACAGTGGTGTCATCAGTAATAAAAGGTATGCCTGAGCTCGTTTGAGAGAAAACGAACAGTAGGAACCGCGTCGATTGTCAAAAAAGGCGTTATCGTGAAAAGATCATTCAAATTTATCTCATTAGATACCAGCACTTATAAAACACAATCATGGAGCTTGTCGATGTACAGTTTTTCGTTTTGTTCCGCTTACCAGCAAGAATTGCGACAAGATGAGCTTGTATCCGCGTCCCCGTCGACGTCTCGTCAGCATATACACAAAGGGCAACTACTGTATAACATTTTCAACAGGCTAACTCTAAACCCTTTCCGACTTGAACTATACCAGCGAAGTGGCGAATTCATCACACGCAAATCTAGCAACAAAATGGCTTTTATTATTTCCGTGTCACTCTTCATCGTCCGTATAATTCCGCAGCATGACAATATAATAAGAACAGCAACAATAAAACATCTGAGGAAGGTCCCGAAGGACACAGCATAAACATGCGTAAATGGCGCAACAGCTCATAATAATTCCCGAATCAATACTGCGCAAAACGTATTCAGGCGTTGGTAGGAAAAATAATATTCCTATTCTCGCTCGGTATTATTGCTGGTGATGGTGCTGATGAGCTCCTGCCCATTGCAATTGGTGTCAACAAGGCGCCTTTTGACTTGGTTCTTAGATACACCTCCAGCGAGGGCTCTATGGTGTCAGGCAGGGATGGTATGACTTGCTGCGGCTGGACGATGATTGCTGCCGGTTGCTGCTGTGGTTGCGGTCCATCCCCGAAAAAGCAGGTCTGAACAAATGCGTACAAACTGTCGGTGGTGGCAGGGGATTGTGCGGCACACCCATAGGCGCCTCTATGGTGAATCAGTGCATAGTCCAGACAGCTTACTTGGGCATCACCATCGCAATCCTAAAAATTGCATTCTTTCAGCGTTTTAATTTTCTTCAAAGTTAACCCAAACCAAATTTTTTTTTTTAATTCCAAGTGCAAATTTGTATAGGTCCCTAATCATCGAGTTTGACCTATTTGCTGATCTGCTGGTTGCATTGATATCTGAAGGCCCTTCCTGCTGGATGCTTCTTGCAAGGTTTTGTATACAGTGAGACCCCAAGATGCGGATGTAATTGGTGCCTCAAGAGTGTCCCCAAGTCAAAATGTCCCCAAGTTGAGTCTCATTTTCCCTTCAACTTACATTATATAATTTTTAATTGGTGTTTTATGTACAAAATACTCACCCTAATTCCATGAAAATAAAAATGGTCTCCCAATTCAAACTGATTCCAATCAATATATTCCAACACAATATGGGCATTTGAGGAATTTAATACTAATTCCTCTTTACAGTACAAAGAAATTTTGGCATTCTCTGTAAAAATAATATCCAAGTGAAAAAGAGAGAAGGAAGTCCCTCTCTGCTGGAGGTAATTTTTTTTTAAATTAGCTGAATGTATGGTAAATTGGTGAGTATTTTGTACATAAAACACCAATTAAAAATTATATAATGTAATTCCAAGGGAAAATGAGACTCGACTTAGGGACATTTCGATTTGGGGACACTCTTGATGTACCAATTACGTCCGCATCTTGGGGTCTCACTGTTTTGTGTTCCTGCTACAGTCATGCTTTTGAAAACACTGAATATAAACGTCATAAAAATGAAAACTCATCAGTCTCGGTAAGGATGCGACAGCAGTTCAAATACTGTGTAGCCCTCTATAGGAGAAATGCATTCAGAAGTGAACAACCCTCACTCCAATGTAAATGAGATTGGCTTTTAGGATCTGAATTCTTAGGCAAAGCCACTACTAAGAATAAGGGGGATTTTTCGAGTTCTATCGAGACGGGATCATTTCAAAATTTAATCATCCTACGTGAGCATGTAACCAGCTTTCTTAGGGTCTTAATGCTTGGGCCACTTTCCAGAATAAGGGGGATACAATTTTGATTTTCAGTGAAACGATATCATTGCCAAAATTAATGTCGATTTTCGTGAACAATCGCCACGCGTACCAAACGACAACAACGACGTAACCAGCTTCAAACACTGGATTTTTGAATCCTTCCAGAATTCAAAACATGATGCCCAGGTGTGGCTGAGCACCGCCAGCTTGTAAAAATAAAAATTGACCATCATTCCCCCACCCATTGGTCCCATTGAGCCGCCTGCCCTCAGGGGACTTACTGTCGCGGGTCCTTTCGCTACTCAGTGCCCAGCCTGGTTCCTTTTCGTCGGGGACCTGTTCTTGCGGAGCCCGTCATATATAAACGAGGGATATGAACATTGACTCGTCATGAAACGGTGGCGGGAAGGGACAACTGGAGGAGTTCTTTCGGCGTCCCAGCTTAACGATTTCCCTTCTTTATGAAACCTCGGCGAACTGAATTTGCATTTTCGAGTGTCCAATTATAGAACAAAGATGAGCGGCAAGGAGCACAAAACTCGGACTTGAAGCCAGAAAATCAGACCACATGGTCCTAAAATCCCGCGGGTTTCCTTCCAAGCGGAAGGAAGGAAGCAAGCAAGAGAGCAGATGGGGTGGGAGGGGAAAAGCAAACGAAGCCCGGGGACAAGGACGAGCTGCATGCCCTCGGGGCCGGTTCACCTCATCGATCGACGGCCTTGATCGCCGGCGTTACGTCATCTCGCATTCCACAAAGTCCCTCCCTCCCGACGCTTTTCCTTTCTCCTTCAATGTTTCGTCTTAATAACACACACTGTATCTGAATATATATACTGCGTATACTCACGGGACGTCCTCCGGCTGATGCCGGCCTCGCTGAAACGTCTCGCCTCCGACGCGTCGCTCATCCGGCGATCCATGTCGTACATCTCGCCGAGCACGCTCTCATGCGCTACGTACAATCATTCCAAATCAGTTCTAGGTGTCGCTCCCGTCATGCAGCTGTCCAGCTCACGTCACACTCACAACTCACAACCAGCCTTGCTATACTAATTGCGACGCTACTATACAGGGTGGGGCTACAGGTGCACTATTGCCCACAAGGGCGCTTCATTTAAAGGAAAATTACAGCACACCCACACATTTGATACCCTTCACTCAGAAAATATAACGCGTTTACTTGCGTAACACGCACCCTCACGTAAATTAATTTTTGGGACAACAAATACATGATGAAGTAGAATCTCATTACAACAAAGGAATTGTGACAAGTAAAATAGCTTCGTTTTAACGAAAAAAAAAGGTTATGAAGTAACTCCTATAATGCGGTAACATTATTATTGTATTGGGCAGAGGCCTAAAACGCAACTTTGTTGTATGCGATTTATCGTTGTAAGAGTCTACTATAAATAAATTGCAACCCCCGCCTAAGATGCGCAAATTGTGACACAAAAATCGGTTTATCCTAACATTTAAACTAGAAAATACGACAATTCGGACACGAAAATACGAATTATGCATTGCTTTTTTTTATATTCTTGTCTACCACTTTGATGTGACCTTTCGAATTATATATTCGTGTAAACTTGAGTCTAGAAAAATTGTCTCTTCAACCTTCGAATTGGGATGAAGCGCACCAAAAAAAAAATGTACATGAAGCGCAACTTTTTCGGAAAGAGGTGCAGCTGATACTTGGAGTAAATGCGGTACATCAGGCAATCGTGAGATTATTTTATTTTTATTTTTACCTGGACAGGCTAAACTGCAGTTCATCAGTCCTTTACTACTGTGTGAAACGAACACACAAAAGTTCTTCAACTAAAAATATTGACGGTAACAGGAAGTGCAAGCGGATTGTTCCTTACACGAAAATAAATGCCTGTATTCAATTGTCTCTCGAAGTTAAATTTGAGCAGGCAAATTTAAAAGAACAATTAACGATTTTTTCATGTAGAGTACTGTATAAAGTGAATAATCTCGGTTAAAACCTCACGCAAGTTCTTTAAAATTGACGCCTTGCAACTTCAGTATGTCGTCAGTCGGATGAATGAGTAAACAAATGACCTAATCAAACTTGAACTCGCCCAATCTAATGTAAACTGATCTCGCATGCCACACACACCTCAA